CATATATATATATATATATATATATCTTTCTTTCAACGTACCAGCCGTATCCCACTGGGGTGGGGTGGCCCAAAAGAAAAAACTGAAGTTTCTCCTTTTAAATTTAGTAATATATACAGGAGAAGGGGTTACTAGCCCCTTGCTCCCGGCATTTTAGTCGCCTCTTACGACATGCATGGCTTACAGAGGAAGAATTCTGTTCCACTTCCCCATGGAGATATATATATATATATATATTACAATTAGGTCACACTACACATACATGTACACATTTATTTATACACACTCATCTGAGTTTTCTTTGATTTTTATCTTAATAGTTCTTGGTCTTATTAATTTTATTTTTATATCCATGGGGAAGTGGAATAAGAATCTTTCCTCCGTAAGCCATGCGTGTTGTAAAAGTCAACTAAAATGCCGGGAACAATGGGCTAGTAACCCCTTTTCCTGTAAAGATTACTAAAAAGAATAAGAAGAAGAAAATTGTCAAAGTGGGAAGTCTGAATGTGCGTGGATGTTGTGCAGATGATAAGAAAGAGATGATTGTGGATGTTATGAATGAGAAGAAGCTGGATGTCCTGGCTTTAAGTGAAACAAAGCTGAAGGGGGTGGGAGAGTTTCATGGAGAGGAATAAATGGGATTAGGTCAGGGTGTTTCAAATAGAGTTAGAGCTAAAGAAGGAGTAGCAATAATGTTGAAGGATAAGCTATGGCAGGAAAAGAGGACTATAAATGTATTAATTCAAGGATTATGTGAGTAAAATAAAGATTGGATGTGAAAAGTGGGTTATAATAAGCGTGTATGCACCTGGAGAAGAGAGAAGTGTAGAGAGAGAGAGATTTTGGGAAATGTTGAGTGAATGCGTGGGGAGTTTTGAATCAAGTGTGAGAGTAATGGTGGTTGGGGATTTCAATGCTAAAGTGGGTAAAAATGTTATGGAGGGAGTAGTAGGTAAATTTGGGGTGCCAGGGTAAATGTAAATGGGGAGCCTTTAATTGAGCTATGTGTAGAAAGAAATTTGGTAATAAGTAATACATATTTTATGAAAAGAGGATAAATAAATATACAAGGTATGATGTAGCACGTAATGAAAGTAGTTTTATTAGATTATGTATTGGTGGATAAAAGGTTGATGGGTAGCTCCAGGATGTACATGTTTATAGAGGGGCAACTGATATATCGGATCATTATTTAGTTGTAGCACAGTTAGAGTAAGAGGTAGATGGGAAAAGAGGAAGGTGGCAACAACAAGTAAGAGGGAGGTGAAAGTGTATAAACTAAGGGAGGAGGAAGTTCGGGTGAGATATAAGCGACTATTGGCAGAAAGGTGGCTAGTGCAAAGATGAGTAGTGGGGTGTTGAAGAGGGTTGGAATAGTTTTTAAAAATGCAGTATTAGAATGTGGGGCAGAAGTTTGTGGTTATAGGAGGGTGGGGCAGGAGGAAAGAGGAGTGATTGGTGGAATATGAAGTAAAGGGTGTGATAAAAGAGAAAAAGGTAGCTTATGAGAGGTTTTTACAAAGCAGAAGTGTTATAAGAAGAGCAGAGTATATGGAAGTAAAAGAAAGGTAAAGAGAGTGGTGAGAGAGTGCAAAAGGAAGCAGATGATAGAGTGGGAGAGCACTGTCAAGAAATTTTAATGAAAATAAGAAAAATTTTTGGAGTGAGTTAAACAAGTTAAGAAAGCCTGGGAAAATATGGATTTGTCAGTTAAAAACAGAGTAGGGGAGTTAGTAGATGGGAAGATGGAGGTATTGGGTAGATGGCGAGAATATTTTGAGGAACTTTTAAATGTTAAGGAAGAAACAGAGGCAGTAATTTCATGCACTGGTCAGGGAGGTATACCATCTTTTAGGAGTGAAGAAGAGCAGAATGTAAGTGTGGGGAGGTACGTGAGGCATTACGTAAAATGAAAGGGGTAAAGCAGCTGGAACTGATGGGATCATGACAGAAATGTTAAAAGCAGGGGGGATATAGTGTTGAGTGGTTGTACTTTTTTAATAAATGTATGAAAGAGGGGAAGGTACCTAGGGATTGGCGGAGAGCATGTATAGTCCCTTTATATAAAGGGAAAGGGACAAAAGAGACTGTAAAAATTATAGAGGAATAAGCTTACTGAGTATACCAGGAAAAGTGTACGGTAGGTTTATAATTGAAAGAATTAAGGTAAGACAGAATGTAGGATTGCGGATGAGCAAGGAGGTTTCAGAGTGGGTAGGGATGTTAGATCAGGTGTTTTACATTGAAGCATATATGTGAACAGTATTTAGATAAAGATAGGGAAGTTTTTATTGCATTTATGGATTTAGAAAGGCATATGATAGAGTGGAATAGAGGAGCAATGTGGCAGATGTTGCAAGTATATGGAATAGGTGGTAAGTTATTAAATGCTGTAAAGAGTTTTTTATGAGGATAGTGAGGCTCAGGTTAGGGTGTTAGAAGAGAGGGAGACTACTTCCCGTAAAAGTAGGTCTTAGACAGGGATGTGTAATGTCACCATGGTTGTTTAATATATTTATAGATGGGTTGTAAAGGAAGTAAATGCTAGGGTGTTTGGGAGAGGGGTGGATTAAATTATGGGGAATCAAATTCAAAATGGAATTGACACAGTTACTTTTGCTGATGATACTGTGCTTATGGGAGATTCTAAAGAAAAATTGCAAAGGTTAGTGGATGAGTTTGGGAATGTGTGTAAAGGTAGAAAGTTGAAAGTGAACATAGAAAAGAGTAAGGTGATGAGGGTATCAAATGATTTAGATAAAGAAAAATTGGATATCAAATTGGGGAGGAGGAGTATGGAAGAAGTGAATGTTTTCAGATACTTGGGAGTTGACGTGTCGGCGGATGATTTATAAGGATGAGGTTAATCATAGAATTGATGAGGGAAAAAAGTGAGTGTGCGTTGAGGTGTATGGGAGTTCAAAAAACGTTATCTATGGAGGCAAAGAAGGGAATGTATGAAAGTATAGTAGTACCAACACTCTTATATGGTGTGGAAGCTTGGTGGTAAATCAGCAGCGAGGAGACGGTTGGAGGCAGTGGAGATGTCCTGTTTAAGGGCAATGTGTGGTGTAAATATGCAGAAAATTCGGAGTGTGGAAATTAGGAGAAGGTGTGGAGTTAATAAAAGTATTAGTCAGAGGGCAGAAGAGGGTTGTTGAGGTGTTTGTCATTTAGAGAGAATGGATCAAATAGAATGACATGGAAAGCATATAAATCTATAGGGGAAGGAAGGCGGGGTAGGGGTCGTCCTCGAAAGGGTTGGGGAGAGAGGGGTAAAGGAGGTTTTGTGGGCAAGGGCTTGGACTTCCAGCAAGCGTGCGTGAGCGTGTTAGATAGGAGTGAATGGAGACGAATGGTACTTGGGACCTGACGATCTGTTGGAGTGTGAGCAGGGTAATATTTAGTGAAGGGATTCAGGGAAACCGGTTATTTTCATATAGTCGGACTTGAGTCCTGGAAATGGAAGTACAATGCCTGCACTTTAAAGGAGGGTTTGGGATATTGGCAGTTTGGAGGGATATGTTGTGTATTTATATGTGTATGCTTCGAGACTGTTGTATTTCTGAGCACCTCTGCAAAAACAGTGATAATGTGCGAGTGTGGTGAAAGTGTTGAATGATAGATTATATATATATATATATATATATATATATATATATTATATATATATATATATATATATATATATATATATATATATATATATATATATATATATATATATATCCATCCATCCATCCATCCATCCATCCATCCATCCATCCATCCATCCATCCATCCATCCATCCATCCATCCATCCATCCATCCATCCATCCATCCATCCATCCATCTCCCTATCCCTATCCCTATCCCTCTGGGTTTTCTTCTTTTTTCTTACTAGTTCTAGTTCTTGTTTATTTCCTCTTATTTCCATGGGGAAGTGGAACAGAATTCTTCCTCCATAAGCCATGCGTGTCGTAAGAGGCAACTAAAATGCCAGGAGCAAGGGACTAGTAACTCCTGTATACATTACTAAAGTTAACAAGAGAAACTTTCGTTTTGCTTTCTGGGCCACCCTGCTTCAGTGGGATATGGCTGGTTGGTTGAAAGAAAAAGAACTATTTTGTAATATTAAAACTTTTAAAAACAAAGAAACATTAAAGATCTGGTAAATACTTTGCTTGTACAACTGAATGAATAAATAGGTTATGTATAATGATAGGTTGTTTGACAGGGCAAGGCCATTTAATGATTTGGTGATGAAATTTGCATGTGAGACCACATTAGATCCTATCTTCCATTGCGTTCTGTGCCAACTATTTACCGTATTTGTAAACACAGATGAGCTTGTCACATGTTGCCACTTGTAGTATGAATCAGGTACTATTTGTAAAATTTTATTGAAGCAAAATGAAGATTTTATTGTGGAGAAAGTTCTGAATACATGCCTGTATTTGCCAGTTACATTAGCTTGACATAGAGCAGAATGAGGGGAAACTGGTAACAGTGCACTGAGTTTGCATTGTTTTTACACATGGGTATGAGGCATTGAATTTTTTTGAAAATATTTGGAGATGCCTTCAAGCTGACAGTGTTTAATATAAATGAAACAGGTTGCTTTTCATAATATAAGAGGAACCCTTAGAGCACAACCCTACTAGGTATTACTGGCTACTATCAAGATGCATATGATTGGTAAATACATGAAACTATGGAATGCTTTCCCCTCTAGCAAAAAGATAGAAAAATGTAGTTAAATATGTAGCAAATAGATTTTTGTAAAACTTATATATTTATTGGAACACTTGGTGTTTTCCACCAAGACGGAACGACCCAAAGAAGAAAATACATTCACCATAACTTATGCCCTAGCTGCTTTTCCAGAATGGCACAGATCACAATCCAATGATGACCCACTAAAGCACTTTCAGTGTGCAGGCACTGTGCATTTTATATCTAACCAATTTTCCCTGAATCTCTTCATAGATATTACTGTAAGTTATACCACTATTTACAGTTCATGATTTGCCGTTTGGTGGTGTTGGCAACAGTGGAATGGGTTGTTACCATGGAAAAGCTTCATATGATACATTTACCCATCGCAAATCTTGCCTTGTTCGAAACTACAACAAGATTGCTGATGCCATTGGAAAGTGAGTACTGAACCTTGAATAATTTGATTCATATTTTCAATTGTCTTATTTTCTATATTATACATTACAGTGGTCTGTTGAATTTTTTTTTTTTTTTTTTTTTTTTTTTATCACACTGGCCGATTCCCACCAAGGCAGGGTGGCCCGAAAAAGAAAAACTTTCACCATCATTCACTCCATCACTGTCTTGCCAGAAGGGTGCTTCACACTACAGTTTTTAAACTGCAACATTAACACCCCTCCTTCAGAGTGCAGGCACTGTACTTCCCATCTCCAGGACTCAAGTCCGGCCTGCCGGTTTCCCTGAACCCCTTCATAAATGTTACTTTGCTCACACTCCAACAGCACGTCAAGTGTTAAAAACCATTTGTCTCCATTCACTCCTATCAAACACGCTCACGCATGCCTGCTGGAAGTCCAAGCCCCTCGCACACAAAACCTCCTTTACCCCCTCCCTCCAACCCTTCCTAGGCCGACCCCTACCCCGCCTTCCTTCCACTACAGACTGATACACTCTTGAAGTCATTCTGTTTCGCTCCATTCTCTCTACATGTCCGAACCACCTCAACAACCCTTCCTCAGCCCTCTGGACAACAGTTTTGGTAATCCCGCACCTCCTCCTAACTTCCAAAGTACGAATTCTCTGCATTATATTCACACCACACATTGCCCTCAGACATGACATCTCCACTGCCTCCAGCCTTCTCCTCGCTGCAACATTCATCACCCACGCTTCACACCCATATAAGAGCGTTGGTAAAACTATACTCTCATACATTCCCCTCTTTGCCTCCAAGGACAAAGTTCTTTGTCTCCACAGACTCCTAAGTGCACCACTCACTCTTTTTCCTCTCATCAATTCTAATGATTCACCTCATCTTTCATAGACCCATCCGCTGACACGTCCACTCCCAAATATCTGAATACATTCACCTCCTCCATACTCTCTCCCTCCAATCTGATATTCAATCTTTCATCACCTAATCTTTTTGTTATCCTCATAACCTTACTCTTTCCTGTATTCACCTTTAATTTTCTTCTTTTGCACACCCTACCAAATTCATCCACCAATCTCTGCAGCTTCTCTTCAGAATCTCCCAAGAGCACAGTGTCATCAGCAAAGAGCAGCTGTGACAACTCCCACTTTGTGTGTGATTCTTTATCTTTTAACTCCACGCCTCTTGCCAAGACCCTCGCATTTACTTCTCTTACAACCCATCTATAAATATATTAAACAACCACGGTGACATCACACATCCTTGTCTAAGGCCTACTTTTACTGGGAAAAAATTTCCCTCTTTCCTACATACTCTAACTTGAGCCTCACTATCCTCGTAAAAACTCTTCACTGCTTTCAGTAACCTACCTCCTACACCATACACTTGCAACATCTGCCACATTGCCCCCCTATCCACCCTGTCATACGCCTTTTCCAAATCCATAAATGCCACAAAGACCTCTTTAGCCTTATCTAAATACTGTTCACTTATATGTTTCACTGTAAACACCTGGTCCCACACACCCCCTACCTTTCCTAAAGCCTCCTTGTTCATCTGCTATCCTATTCTCCGTCTTACTCTTAATTCTTTCAATTATAACTCTACCATACACTTTACCAGGTACACTCAACAGACTTATCCCCCTATAATTTTTGCACTCTCTTTTATCCCCTTTGCCTTTATACAAAGGAACTATGCATGCTCTCTGCCAATCCCTAGGTACCTTACCCTCTTCCATACATTTATTAAATAATTGCACCAACCACTCCAAAACTATATCCCCACCTGCTTTTAACATTTCTATCTTTATCCCATCAATCCCGGCTGCCTTACCCCCTTTCATTTTACCTACTGCCTCGCGAACTTTCCCCACACTCACAACTGGCTCTGTTGAATTGTGATTATTAATTCATTCCAGAAGATGTGTCATACCTCAAATAATTTTTTCCTTGATAACAAAGATAGTCAATTGTGGAAAGCCATACTCATGTACTAATTCTTACTCAGTCATGTTTTTCACACTACTTTTTCACAATTTATTGTTTATTCTAAAGAGAAATAGCCTGTTTACTGCACATGTTAGGGGCAATGATGACATGGTAAGTAAACCTGGCATAATTAAATCACAAATGTGTATCGCTTCTCAAGTTTTTCATCACAAGTCAAAACTAAATTTTTTTACAAGTGTAAACTGTAACTCAATATTATCATAACTCAAGATTATCACACCTCAAAGGACCACTGTATTTATTATATAGGTAGTTCATCAGTTTTTTAGCTGTACAGCACTGTCCTACTCTAATGTCATATTGCTATCATATTGATAGCAATAATAGATCATTTGCATGTAGGTTTGGATTTTTAAAGGTAACTTGATCATAATGAGTAACTTTGTAAAATGCAGCACTGTAATTAACTTTATTTACCAATTATATTATGTTTAAAAACCAAACCATACCACGGGTGGGGCTTGAACCCCCAGTCAGAGAGTCGTAAAACTCCAGACCGACGTGTTATCCACTGGTATGGTTTATTTGCAATTGTGTCACTACAGTTTTGCGAGTCATATTATATTTAAAGCCTTATTAAAAGGCATGGAGTGTGTAGGAGAAGCTTTAAAATATTAAATAACATTACTTTAAACTGTTGATAATCTTCTTTCATCCCCGAAGATCTAGATTCAGTACTTGCACATTTAATGTTAAATTTGTGCAGTTAATTAATTTCAAGTGCTTGGAAATATCTAAAGCCAGTATATTAACCTTAAACGGTCCGAACGTACATATACGTTCTCTCGCATAGCGCCCCAAACGTATATATACGTTTCCTTTGTCATTCATTCAACATTGGCACAATAGCCCTGCGTCACCTAGACATGAGAGAATGGGTGTGCGCACTCAGTGTGTGCCATATGAAAGAAATTAGGGATGCCTGGGTACCAAATGCTCTTTTTTTCCTATAAAAAAAAAAATTCTCAAAATATTCGGGGCGCCATGCACGTGAACGTATATATACATTTGGACCGTTTAAGGGTTAAAAAAAAAAACACACAAACCAGTATATGATGCAGATAAAAGAGAGGGCAATATTAGCTCACAGTTTGGAGAGGACACTTTAGATGGGCCAAAATATTGTTTAAAGGTTCCTCTCTAAATTGGGGGTTAATAGTTAACTGTTCCAACCATGATGTGACTTTTTTTTCATATTTGTAGTGAGAATCTCTCTACAGATTGTTATTTGGCAGTTAATCACTGTCATGTAATTTATTCATTTGTCTTCCAGGAAGCGTTATCCACCATACTCTGAAAAGAATATGAACTTTCTTGCTAGTATGTTGAAAGAGCATTCATTACCCAGCTTCAGGATGCTGCCATATGTCATTGCCTTTGGTCTTGGTGTTGTTTCAGTATTTGCAGTCAGCAAAATTGCTAAGGTGAGTTCTCTTTATTGTACAAATTTTCAGACGAGGATTTATATCCATGGGGCTACATTTTCCTGGTTGAAAAAAATTGACAAGTAGGTATCTTCTACAGTGCATATGTATGGGTGTGTGTTGGAAGCCAAGCAGTAGAATCTTTATATTGAACCTTCAGAATACAGTAGGCCTTTTCCTTAGAAAGGTAAGTAGAGCATTATGACATTTAATATTACAGTTGTCCATCAGTAAACACGCAATATGTTAACACATTTTCACATTAACAGTTGCAAAATTGCAGCATGTATTCAGTGAACACACCGTATTAATCAGTCATCTGACTCTGTCAGTCAGTCGCTGCCTCACATCTGCAGCATCAATAAGGGGACAGGGCCTGCTTTGCTCTTCTGGTTTGTCTGCAGCTTCTGTACCTGTTCAGGAGTTTAGGTCCATGAGGGGCTTGAGATCCAGGAGGGATGTGGGCATGGTGGCAGGTGGCAGTGTGAGGGGCATGAATGTGTGATTGAGGGAGATAGAAGGGTGAAGGTGTGTGGGTTAGGGCAGGGGCTGAAGACGAGTTGTTGGTATGGCTACCAGCTGCCAATGTTCGGGTGAAAGCATACAGGTGAGAAGGCACAGTTGAGTGTGGGTGAGGACATATGGGTGAGGGCTTGTGAGCTAGTGGGTGGGAGCAAACAAGTTAGTGAGTGAGAATGAGTTACTGGGTGAAAAAAAATTAAAAGACGTTCTGAGCAAAGGAGTGAGAGTGGCCCATGGGGACATGTTGTCACTGCTGTCCCATATTTCTTTCACCTGTTGTGCAGACATTACAATTCAGATTATCCTGCAACTGCAACATCTCCAACCCTCCTTCAGAGTGCAGGCATTGCTTTTCCCACCTCCAAAATTCAAGTTTGGCTAACCAGTTTTCCTGAATCCCTTTATAAAAGTTGCACTTCTCATACTCCAACAGCATGTCCATTAAAAACCATGTCTTAAAGCCTCATTTTACCCCCCTCCCTCCATTCAGTCCTGGGATGGCCACTACTACCTTCCATCCTAAATTTATTCACCCTTTTTTGTCATTCTATCCTGTCCTCCATCCTCTCTACATGTCCCAACCACTTGAAGAACCATTTCTCAGCTCTTTTGGTATTGACATAGGGTGAAAGTCTTCCTTGCTTAGTAGAACACACCATCAGCTTTAAAATCATGATAAGATATTGAATACAATAAATCCTGATTTATACCAAAATTTTGTTGAGGAATAAATGTTCAAACTAATTCATAATACAGTGGACCCCCGGTTAACGATATTTTTTCATTCCAGAAGTATGTTCAGGTGCCAGTACTGACTGAACTTGTTCCCATAAAGAATATTGTGAAGTAGATTAGTCCATTTCAGACCCCCAAACATACACGTACAAACGCACTTACATAAATACACTTACATAATTGGTCGCATTGGGAGGTGATCGTTAAGCGGGGGTCCACTGTATTTGACAGTTGCAGGGGAAAGTGTGAGGGAGGGTGAGGGGATGTAAGTGAACAGCCTTTTTTTCATTACCCAATCTCATCTCTGAATATTTATTGTGGTTTCCAAATGCTTGTAAAGTGAGGGAGAAGATGAAGCATGAAACTATGCCTATTATGAAAAAACTGGAAATAATTGACATGCTGTGGTGTTATGCTCGCATCATGGAAATGGCTCGTGTGTTTGGCAATAGAGAATCAACAATTCCATCAATTCAAGACAATAATGTGAAGATAAGGGCTTGTGCAATAAGTAATCCCCAGTGTGATTCAGTAAAAGGAATGAGGAATAGGTCAATACAGTTAAGTTTACCAAATGTGTGGAGCGAAAAACAAACAAAAAAAAGGTGTTCCATTGATAGCCGTATTATTAGGGGGGGAAAGCCTTATCATACTGTAAAACTGTGTGTGAGGAGGAAGGACAGTCCAAAAATGAATTCACATTTAGTTCTGGATGGTTTAACAGATTTAGAATGCTCATTGGTTTGCAGTGGGGAGAGGGCCTCTGCCAACTATGCTGCCACAGAAATTCCCAGCTGAGCTAGCTAACATTATCTCTGTGGGTGGCTACAAACTTAAGTAGGTATTTAATGTTGACAAGACAGGTTTATTCTGGAAGATGCCATCTAGAAAATACATCAATAAACAGAAAACTGCTCCTGGATTCAAAGCTGCAAAAGATCACTTCATCTTGCTCCTTTGCAGTAATTGCTCCAAGAAACTCCATGACTAAAGTTCAAAGATGAAAGCACATTCCCTGTTATTTGGAAGTTCAGTGCCATGGCATGGGTGACTGAGGTTTTCTTCACCTTATAAGTGGTTCAAGCATCTTGAAGTAAGGATGTACCTGTCCCTGAAAAATCTTGCATTCAGGGATCTCCTTGTCCTTGATAATTGTCATAGTCATCCTTGACTCCTTGAGGATGTGGATCCAGTCATATTTAACAGTAAATATGACATCCTTAATACATCCACTGGATTGAGGAGTTTTTTTTATTAACGCATAGGCCGTCTCCCACCAAAGCAGGGTGGCCCAAAAAAGAAAAACTTTCATCATCATTCACTCCATCACTGTCTTGCTAGAGTTGTCTTTCAGAGTGTTTCCATCTGTACTTCCCATCTCCAGGACTCAAGTCCGGCCTGCTGGTTTCCCTGAATCCCTTCATAAATGGGATTCAGGGAAGTTATCAGGGCATTTAACCCTTTGACTGTTTCAGGCCCCTCTTTGAAACTGTCATTCTATGTCGCCAAATATTCGAAAAAAAAATTATTTTTCTTGTGAAAATGTTAGGAATATTTTTCTGAGTGTTTTAAGCCTAAAAAAAATTTTTTGCCATCAGTACTTACCGAGATATAGAGCCGCAAAGTTTGCAGAAAGTGACGTGCGTACGGCAACAGTGGTGACTGCCGCCCACCCGGTATTCTTTTATTTACTCTAATTCAAAGATTTCTTGCATTTTTCAATATTTTTCTGTTCCAGGTAACTTATGTGGCCTGTGAGACCAATGTAAAGTGCATTCTTCAAATATACACTCATTGTTTACAACACAATAACAGAACAAATTTTATCACTATTAGTTTGTGTATACACTTTGTTTACACAAACAAACAATACAAAACAATGTTTATTACTATTGTTCCATAATATACAGTGGACCCCCGCATAACGATGGCATCGCATAGCGATTTTTCCGCATAACGATTACTTTTATCGCAAAATTTTTGCCCCGCATACCGATTAAAAACCCGCATACCGATTTTCGTCCGAGACGCGTCCAATGTGCCCTCACATGTGCCGGCCGTCCCATTGTTTACCAGCCAGCCTCCGCGGTAACATCCAAGCATACACTCGGAATATTTCGTATTATTACAGTGTTTTCGGTGGTGTTTCTGGAAAATAAGTGACCATGGGCCCCAAGAAAGCTTCTAGTGCCAACCCTGTGGTAAAAAGGGTGAGAATTAGTATGGAAATTAAGAAAGATTTTGAAGGGTTTGGGGCTAACCCTGAGAAGCCTATGCCAGTTGTGGAATCCATTGTGCCTACTTCAAAGATTAAGGAAATGTGTGCAGAGTGGTTTGAACTGCAAACCTTTATAGATGAAAATCACCCTGACACAGCTGTTGCAAGCCGTGCTTGTGACTATTTCAATGACAATGTTATGGCCCATTTTAGGAAAGTCTTGAAGAAACGGGAGGTACAGAGCTCTATGGACAGATTTGTTGTGCGACAGAGGTCCAGTGACTCTGAAGCTGGTCCTAGTGGCATTAAAAGAAGAAGGGAAGTAACCCCAGAAAAGGACTTGCTACCTCAAGTCCTAATGGAAGGGGATTCCCCTTCTAAACAGTAAGAAGATAATGCTCTCCCCTCCTCCCATCCCATCAATCATCACCAGATCTTCAATAAAAGTAAGTGTCATGTAATTGTGCATGCCTTTTTCAGTTTGTGTGTATTAAAATTAACATTTCATGTGGTAAAAAAAATTTTTTTTCATACTTTTGGGCGTCTTGCACGGATTAATTTTATTTCCATTATTTCTTATGGGGAAAATTAATTCGCATAACGATTATTTCGCATAACGATGAGCCCTCTTGCACGGATTAAAATCGTTAACCGGGGGTCCACTGTATATACATATGTACAGTCACTGAACACGTTCCTAGAACTGCTGCAGCTTGTGGAACTCTTTGAAACATGGGTATATGCAGAGGGGCACTTGACACTCCTCACACATAAAACGAGTGTCTCTGCGTGTTTGTGGGCGTTTTGTGGTATGTGTACATACATAACACCTCTTCTGAACTTTTTTTCTTGGCAGTAGTAGGAGGCAGTTGCATGGGGTAGTGATCACCAGGCCTGAAACGAGATGTTATTTTTTTTATTATCACACTGGCCGATTCCCACCAAGGCAGGGTGGCCCGAAAAAGAAAAACTTTCACCATCATTCACTCCATCACTGTCTTGCCAGAAGGGTGCTTTACACTACAGTTTTTAAACTGCAATTTTGTGGGCGCTGGTCTATTGCAGGTGTTGCTCATTGGTACTTTGCAATTATTTGTCTGATTACTGACAAGCAGAATTCACCATATTTTGGTGTTTTGTTGGTCTTCAACTTGTATATGTTATAAGGATTCAGCATAGTGATATCAACAAGATGGAAAACAAGTTTTATATACCACTTATAACTCTTGCGTACACAGTCTGCAAACCCAATCTGCATGTCACATATGTCCACTAAGCGCATATTGAGGTTGTAGTCCATGACAGCTGCAGGCTTTAGAATGGGTTCATTGGTCTCTCTGTTGTGCCTGTCACTGTGTACTATTTCGTTTCGGTGAACTGATGTCAATAATGTGACATCACGTTTGTCATGCCACCGAAATGCCATGATGTCATTGGCAGCAAAGGCTTGCACCTCACCTCTGCGAGTGCCAGCGTCGAACCTTGGCATATGTTTACGATTACGACGCACTGTGCCACACGTTTGTCAAGTTCACTCACAAGAAATCACTGAGTAAGGGGCTTGTGTACCAGTTATCAGTAAATAACATATGCCCCTTACCAAGATATGGTTCCATCACTGTTCGAACCACATCACCAGAGATACCCAATAACTTCATGGTATCTCTCAAAGTATTACTGCCAGTGTACACAATGATATCCAAAACTAGACCACTTCTGCAATCACACAGTACAAATAGCTTTATACCAAAGCGTTTCCTCTTGCTTGGTATATATTGCTTGAATGAGAGTCTTCCTTTGAATAAAATCAAGGACTCATCAATAACAAGCTTCCTGAAGGGATAAAAATACATGCAGTACTTTTGTTTCAGGTACATAAACACATTTCTTATCTTATATAACCTGTCGCTTCTGTCAGGCCTGGTTTTGTCTGAAAAGTGTAACATACGTAACAATATCAGGAAACGATTGACACCTATAATGTCACTAAAACCTGGAGTTGAAATCAGGCGTTCTGTTGCCCAGTATGTGGTGACAGTGTGCTTATACACATGTGGCATAAGCATTATTGTGGCAAAAAACAGGTACATCTCTGCCACAGTTGTCTCCTTCCACTTGTGTAGCCGTGATTTTGGTGAGAGAATTGTATTTGCCATGGTGTAATCACAGCATGTGTTTGTTTCCCTGACAATGATGTCCATCAGGGGTTCATCGAAGAATAACTCAAAGCAGTCCAGTTCACTGGCTTTGTTCCCAAGTGGACATGATGGCTTTATTCCACTTTGTGTTTCATCAAAGTCATGGGGACTGGGAACAAACCCGTCACCGCCAATCCCAGATGCGGTCTGCTGGTGGGGTCTGGATATTGTACCGTGGTTGTGGTTGTGCAGGTTGTGGGAGTGCAGGTTGTGGGAGTGTGGGGTCGGGTGAGGCTGGTTGTTGTACAGAGTCAGCAGCGTGGGTAGTAGCGTGGCCCGCTGATGGTGCCACATGGGCCATGCCACCCTCACTATCACCACCACTGCCTGCTCCCTCACTCACATCATTCATACCCATCGTTACAATATCGTCATCTTCACTATCAGGTCGTGGTGTAGGGCCACGGGATGTGCTCCCAGAGTTTCTCCTTCCCCTTGGAACAACATATGAAACACTACCAGACCACATGCTACGTCGTACATACTGCCGCTTCATTGGGGAATATTCACCCTCACTGTCACTAGAACTGCTTTCAGTGACCTTGAAATCACTATCACATTCACTGCTATCATCTGGGTGTTGTACACGACCAAATAGTTTCCTCTTTCGTCCTGGTACAGGGTTGTGGGTCATCTGGGTTTTCATCACTAATTACGTTATCCTGGGCACTTTTTCCGGTAACACTCGCTTCAAAACCCTGGAATTCACTGTCACTGACATTTTCATCGCTGTTAGAGCTATCACTTGGGAACAAAAGACCTCCAATCCGCTGAGGAGTGAGGAACTTCTTACCGAGAGGCATGGTGAAAATGGACTAACAAGATGGCGTTCCCACAATGCACCACTGGGTCCCAGATTTTTTTCACAGGGTGCACACCGACCACTGAGACCCATTCTCTCTCATGTAGGCCTACCAGGCCTTTCCCGCTTGATTTGAAGCCGCTAGAATTTGTGCGTATAAATACGTCAGAAACATTGGCTCGTAAGACGTATTTATACGTTGTAAACAGTCAAAGAGTTAAGCACCACTACACACGCAGTGTAGTTAATAAACTTGTGGTAGCAATTGAAGAGACAGACAGTGGAGTTCCTGAGTTTTGGTGCAAATTTATCATTACAGATAAAATATGGGATCATGTACCAAAATCAACAGTAAATCTTGGTTGAGAAAAATATGGCCTAGTTTTGTGAATAATTTTGCTGGTTTTCCAACAGTGAAAAGTCAAGTTCAGGAAAATGTTTTCTGGCAAGGAGAGTGCCAGGTGAGGGATTGGAAGATATGCCTCCAGATGACATCAATGAACTCTTGGAAGTTGATGAGGAACCAGCTTTAGAGGAAATGTTGCAGGATTTAAATTCCCAGCTGCAGAGAATAGAAGACAAGGATGAAGAACTTGAGCCTGATGGAGTGATGCTGACACTGAGAGATACTCAAATCATTGAATACTGTTGGCAAAGTTGAAGACTTGTTTATTGAAATGGACCATGACTTACCTTGAAGCATTACTTAAACGCTTGTTCCGTAGCAGGTGCTTGGGTCTCACCATCTGCTGTATAAAGACCTGCAGGGTAAAACAAACCAGTTGATTATGAGTACCTGAGGACTCCACTGTAACAATCAGCTGATAAAGTTGCATTATCACAAGAGCCGAGTAGGGTCACAGCCACTCACTCCGCTCACTTCAAGACAATTAGCATCCTGAACTTGATTGGAATTTAAGTAATAAATAATGTACAGTATTAATGTAACCACAGTTTTAGCTAATATACTATTACTCTTAACTGTTTGAGCCTCATTAAAATTCACATATTTCACAGAGCATCAACATTAACAATGTTAGGCAAGAAAAACTATTATTTTCATGACATATAGTTTGTTGCAGTTTTCTAAGAGGTGTAAGGAATGCATCCTTATTTTTCCTATATATTTTCAGCTCATAAGCTGCAGAAATCATAAGTAGTGCAGTTTTCACGAACATAACTCACACAAAATATGATTGTCCACTGTACTTTGTTGTAGTTCTGTGTAGCAAGATATTTCCTTATATAATTTGATGTTTCACTGTTTATATAGGAGTTTTACCTAACATATTTTAATAAATGAATAGTTTGTGCTAATTCAGCTGAAAGATTTTGTCCATGAAATATTACACCCTTACATTTCTTTGATGCTGTATTTGTTGTGTTTGCTGATGTTTTTTTTATTGGGGAGGGGGTAGTTTTATCTTGTGAGTGAATGGTTAGCTTGTGAGGAAAAATTTTTATTGTGTAGAGTGCTGAATGACATACAGGCTTCATTGTTCTGTAAATAGTTTGACACTTCTTTCGAATAGATGTTTAATGAATCTTTTTTTTTTTTTTTTTTTTTTTTTTTTTTTTTTTTTTTTTTCTCTCTCAACAAGTTGGTCGTCTCCTACCGAGGCAGGGTGACCCAAAAAAGAAAGAAAATCCCCAAAAAGAAAATACTTTCATCATCATTCAACACTTTCACCACACTCACACATTATCACTGCTTTTGCAGAGGTGCTCAGAATACAACAGTTTAGAAGCATATACGTATAAAGATACACAACATATCCCTCCAAACTGCCAATATCCCAAACCCCTCCTTTAAAGTGCAGGCATTGTACTTCCCATTTCCAGGACTCAAGTCCGACTATATGAAAATAACCGGTTTCCCTGAATCCCTTCACTAAATATTACCCTGCTCACACTCCAACAGATCGTCAGGTCCCAAGTACCATTCGTCTCCATTCACTCCTATCTAACACGCTCATGCACGCTTGCTGGAAGTCCAAGCCCCTCGCCCACAAAACCTCCTTTACCCCCTCTTTCCAACCCTTTCGAGGACGACCCCTACCCCTCTTTCCTTCCCCTATAGATTTATATGCTTTCCATGTCATTCTACTTTGATCCATTCTCTCTAAATGACCAAACCACCTCAACAACCCCTCTTCTGCCCTCTGACTAATGCTTTTATTAACTCCACACCTTCTCCTAATTTCCACACTCCGAATTTTCTGCATAATATTTACACCACACATTGCCCTTAGACAGGACATCTCCACTGCCTCCAACTGTCTCCTCGCTGCTGCATTTACCACCCAAGCTTCACATCCATATAAGAGTGTTGGTACTACTATACTTTCATACATTTCCTTCTTTGCCTCCATACATAACGTTTTTTGACTCCACAATGAATCTATTCTGTGAAAATACGTAGAAATTTTTAGTGGGATATTTAATTTAACATAAATTTAAATATCTTCTACAGGAGTGCTTGCCTTATAGTCTGTGCCTCAGCATTTTGTTGGTAAAGCATATTTTTCATCCTAATACTTTCCTTCATTATGTCTTGTACTCTAGTATACATAGGACCCCCATATCTGTGGGGAATACGTTCCATGGACCTGCCGTGGATACTGAAACCGTGGATAGTAGCAGACTTTAGATATAAGTCCTATACATACCTATTGTAAAGTTTAATTGATAAATAATGCACAATAAATGAAGAATTGTCACTTTTACACTGATGGGAAGCATTTCACGGCTTCTCCTAGGCACTGAAGAACTTGCACCATCACTACTTTTGCACTCTGAGGCCATTATTAAGCAAAATTAAGGGTTATTTTTGGGCCACAGTAAACTGTGGAAAACTGACACTGCAGATACCAGACCTGCAGATATGGGGATCCTACTGTACATTTTCTTGTATCCTAAAGCCATTGTATACTTGTAGCCACATTCTTTCTGCCAAAGTTTGATGCTATTAGAACTGTCTTTCTTCAGGGTGATTTGCGTGAATGGATGAATCGTAGAGTGGGCGCAGCTATTGAGTTAATTCGTAAACCTCAGACTTAGGTCACACTCACAAATTACCTTGCATTACATATTTTTACAGCCTTTCCAAGTAAGTGAGATATGATAATATATTTTTGGCATGAGAATCATAGTTGATCTCTTGCGTGACTGACATGTAGTTTTCTTTCTTCCTCTACTGTATTGAAATGTCATTATATTAATTTACTTTTTTCTTTGAGTACCCAATACTTTAATATTTATCTGTGACTATAAGGATGAATTTTCACCAAAAGAATAATTAACTTCAAATTTAAAATATAGTGAAAATGAATTCATGTTATATGATTAAAATGGTTTAAAATTTTTAATATTAGGAAGTGTTGTAGAAGCAATTTCAAAAGATACTCTTTTTGTTGTTATGGTTGATTTATTTTTGGCCATGTCTTGACGAAGGTTGATGCCAGTTAGCTGGTGCCTAGCACAGTACTTGCAGCACATTCATTCTAATTACAAAAGTCCTTAGCATTGTTTCACTCCATACTTGCTGTTTTTTCATAACCTCATATGCTGGGCAAAAATGTTAGTGTGTTGAAGTATCCTAGAAATGGTTTACTCTTCTCTTTAAACCAATTTAGCTCTAGATTTTTGTGTACTGCAAAGATATTTGGGTATTCCTTTTGCATGTTTAAAAGTGTCATTTATGATCTGTCAGTGGGGTTGCTAAATAATTCTTGATTTTACTCGCACGTGTACTCGCCTAATTGTGGCTGAAGGGGTTGGTTCACGACTCCTTGTCCCACCTTTTCACTGGTTGCTACTGTGTGTGTGCATACATGTGTATATGTGCTTGCATACTCACCTATTTGTGGTTGCAGGGGTCAAGTTGTGTATGCTTGTGCATACATACATACATGAATATGAATGTTTAATCTTTTTCTTTTTTTAGTGGGGATCACCATGCCTTGACAGGAGATGGCTGGTGTATTAAAAATACATGTTCTTATACTGTATGTTTGCATGCATGTATAGGTGATGAGTAGACAGTGTTTACAGTGAAGCATACAAGTGAGCAGTTCTTAGACAAGGGTAAAGAGCTGTTTTTTGCATTTGTGGTTTTAAAAAAGGCACATGATAGGGTGGATAGAGGAGTTATGCGGCAGATGTTTGCAGTGGGTGGGATAGGTGGTAGGTTACCAGAAGCAATAAAAGAATTTTTATGCAGTAAGTGAGGTTCAGGTTATATGTAGAAAGGAAGGGGACTCTATTTCAAAGTAGGACTTGGACAGGGATGTTATATGTAAGGTAACATTTTGTGAAGGGATTCAGGGAAACTGGTTAGCTGGACTTTAAGAGTCCAGGAGGTGGGAAGTACAGTGCTTGCACTCTGAAGGATGGGTGGGGATATTTGCAGTTTAAAAGTGCATCAGAACTGTAATGTCAGCATGCCTCTGGCAAGACAGTGATGGAGTGAATGATGGTGAAAATAGTTCTTTTTCCAGTCACCCTAAATTAGTGGGAGGCATCTAATGTATTAAAAAATGTATACATATATATATAAAAGAGATATAAAATTATTTATTCATTTTTGTTACATGCACTTCATATTTACACTTACCTTTTTCTTTGTTATAGGCTGTTGCTGGTGAAGATGACACAGACATCTAAGGAGTTTTTTAAAAGAAAGTACTCCATATTTTTAGTAAATTTTTCTGTTAAATGAAAGGGCATAGCTAGCTTGCTTTAGAGACTTTTGATACAAGTCGTTCAATAAGAACAATAACTGAAGTGTTTATAGATAAAATAAGTTTGGATTTATTGAACAATAATGCATTTGCTTACTTTTGTGCAAAACTAACAATATCTCATACTTACAGCTGTAATAGCCAATTACATAAAAAGCCTTAACAATGTATGTAAATGTTAGATTGTTTTGAGTTTTCAAGTGCATGATTGTCTTAGACGTTTATTTTCTTTTTCTTATAGAAGTCTTGCATTCCCAATACCACTAAAATTTTAATTTTTACACTTCGGAATAGTTAAGGAAAGTTTATCAATACAAAACTAGAGGAGAGTATATTATAATATATGATAGTGAATTGTTGGAGATGCTATGGGAAGGTTGAATAAAATTAAGATTGCCTTTTTTATACTATAGTGTAATCCCTCCATCTCTGCCACTTTTCTAACCACAAATTGACCTTTCCAAAAGTTTTATTATTCAGCCATCTGCAAGATGGACTTTCTGAGATATGATGAGCTAATATTAGCTCATTCACATTGCCTGAAATTGTGGATCTGCAACTTGTGTATGTTCAGCCACAGCTCATGTATACTATGGTATGTCATCACATCATGCAAGGTGCTAATATAGACAGACCATGCTGTACCATAACATAAAGATCTTTAAAAAAAAAAAAATTCTGGGGCAGCATTATTTTTTTTTCCAAATTATGATTTTTTCAGCACTTTTTGGTTTCATCATTTTTGGGCAGCCATTATACTCTAGTGGCCATCCATTCTACCTCTTACTGATCCAAACTGTATTGACAGTGTTTAGGAGTAAATGTGTGACTTTTGATTTGCACTTAATCAATTTTCAGCTTACTTGCAGTGGGTTTTTCTCTTGATGTAAATTCTGCAATGGTTGTGTATACTGGTGACTAAGCAAGATGAATATATTAGTGTGAAAAGAGTATTCCTACTTAATAGTATAGGTGTGGGCAGTGTAGGACCTTCACTGGTGTGAGCAATAAAATTAACTAGAATTGCAAAGAAAATTGGAGCATGGAGTTAGTATTTCTTATGTCATGGTAGTATGTTGATGGAAGAGCAACTGTTTATGGTGTGAAGGCTAAGAGAAATAAACTTCTTCACTTTAATGCTTGAAGTTAGTGTTAAAGCTCTCTGGGAAGGAGGTTTACAGGGGGCACCTTTAAACCAAGAATACTAATGATACTTCATATGAATGGTTATATCAGTGGCACAGTAGAAGTGTGCATCTTTTGAGAAAGGTTTCTAATAGTCAAGAGCTGGTTTTTTTACAAAGAACTGAAGATAAAAATTGATCATAGCTTCGGCTGGATGTACAAGTTTAATTATATGGTCTACATCCTTTGTACTGTACATAAATAAATAGGAAGTTGGAAGACAATAACTGATAGGTAATGATGAGTTTTTTGTTTCATAAAATTTGTGCACATCTAATTGTACAGTGCATTACTGAAACTTTGGTTGTTCCTGAAAGCTCCTAGACTGATGACAGTAAATTCTCTTTGACCTATAACTATTATTTTTCAAGTCGTAAATAGCAGTATATTATTTTTCAACACATGGCAATCTCCCACCTATTAATTATTCATTTGTACTACAACTGATCCAAAATAGGACAAATGAGCTTAACAGTACTCTGGGTACATAGGTGTGAAAGTGCATTACCTCTGTTCTTTTCAATCTGTATACATATGTTCCATTCCTTGGAATTCACCCTCCCATAATTTTTCTTGTAATGCATTCCTTGTGAATACTGAGGGGACTACAGTACTGTATATCCCAGTGTAATAAGTTGTGGAAAGGTTGCAATATTTCCATTTGTTAAGTTATATACATAAACAGAGAAACTATTATTCAAGAAATGTTATATAGTTTAGTGTACTGTACTGTAGTAACTATATTTTATATACCAATTTATGGAGCTATAGATTAGGACACTTCTCATAATTAGTCACTAGATACATGATTTTATTTCATGGATGTGTTGTATAAACTTGCTTACAAGTCAGGAAGAAATTTTTGATTTTGTAAAGTGGTTTTTGAACTAAAGGTGAGACACATTTGTGAAAACAAGATGTGTATTCATAAAAGCAAGTTTGTCAAATATGAGTGAAATGTTTTTCTCATTAACCTTTATCTTGGTGACTGATAAAACACATTTTTTTGTATTACACATGTATTAAAAATAAAGTATAATGCAAAATATTGATGTTGTGTTATCAATATGGTGGCCATGAAGTTTCATAGCAACCAAATTAAATTTCCTAAACCAGTGTTTTTTTTTTTTTCCACTGCAATGATCATTCCCCTTTTTGCCCAGCAGACTAGCTGTATACCTGGAGAGGGTTTCGGGGATCAACACCCCCGCGGTCTGGCACTGTGTTTACCTACCTTTCCTACAACAGCCACTTGGGCTTTGTAGAGGGAAGAGCTAATGTATCTATGCATCAGAGACCAGGCAAACCAGGTCTAATGCAGGGACAGACAAAAGGCTCTTTAACTAAATAATGAATTTAACCAGATGACATCTCAGAGGAAGGTTCTTTGATACCAGTGAGGGGCCCTTGACCCACTGAACTGGACTAGACCTCTTCTTTCTTGGATCAAACCAGATTGCCTCCCATTCCCGAAGGCACTATGACCTATATGGGTGTAATGCTTCCCCCATGAATAATCTCCTCTCCCTATTTATTAAGGTGTCAATGCCAATAAAAATTTCATAATCCAAGAAAATGGAGCCTTCCACTTTTTCCATGGATATAATCTGCTTGCTTGCTATCAAAACTTTGCCATTAATGAAATAAAAAACTCTCCCTTGTTAAATTATTTTGTGTGACTTGCACTCTACCATCTACGTATCAGCCACACATGACCCACTCATGGATGCCTCATGGAAAAATACCTGGCACTGCTCTGCAAGGACTGCCGTGTTGCACTGTCAGTTCAGTATACCTTATCAGATTGTCCAGCCTATTAGCCAGTATGCAGAATTCACTTCTGTTGTCTCTGCTACCCCAACCCTCAAACTGCACTGGCCTTGTTGAAATTTCCACTTTTGGCACAAAGTCACTGAAATTTTAACAGAACCCATGTAACTGTATAGGTGAGTATATCCCTCCATGCAGCACTGTATGATCCTCTTGGGTTCACTTAATTTGATTACAGTATATCATTATTATTACATATGATTTGCAGCTCAGTGGTATAACTATCGATCCCCACCCTTGAAGGGTGGGGATCAACAGTGAAGGCCTCTTGATCCAAGGAACTGAACCTGTCCTCCTCTTCCTTGGACCCTTCAAGGGAGGTTCCTTGATGCTGGTGAGGGGGCTCTTGACCTAGGAAATTAGATCTGTGATACAATTCCCTGAATAAGGCCTGCCCCTCAAGGGAGGTTCCTTGATGTTGGTGAGGGGCTCTTGATCTAGGGAATTGGACCTGTGCTCCAATTCCCTGGATTGAGCCTGAATACCTTTCATCTTCCCTACATGTGCTGTATAATCCTATGGGTTTAGTAGTCCCACATGATTATAATTACAATAAATTAATTATGCCTGAATACCTCCCATCCCCCCCCCCCTCAAGCACTGTACAATCCCTGTGGGTTTAACACAAACCATAATAATCCTCTTTCTTGGATCGAACCTAATTACTTCCCACTTCCCAAGGCACTGTATGACCCCTATAAGATTTCACCCCTACCACCCACCCCAGCATGATTTTTTTTTTTTTTTCAACAAGTCGGCCGTCTCCCACCGAGGCAGGGTGACCCAAAAAAGAAAGAAAATCCCCAAAAAGAAAATGCTTTCATCATCACTCAACACTTTCACTACACTCACACATTATCACTGTTTTTGCAGAGGTGCTCAGAATACAACAGTTTAGAAGCATATACATATAAAGATACACAACATATCCCTCCAAACTGCCAATATCCCAAACCCCTCCTTTAAAGTGCAGGCATTGTACTTCCCATTTCCAGGACTCAAGTCCGACTATATGAAAATAACCAGTTTCCCTGAATCCCTTCACTAAATATTACCCTGCTCACACTCCAACAGATCGTCAGGTCCCAAGTACCATTCGTCTCCATTCACTCCTATCTAACACGCTCACGCACGCTTGCTGGAAGTCTAAGCCCCTCGCCCACAAAACCTCCTTTACCCCCTCTCTCCAACCCCGGCAAGTGGCAAAATATATCCAATGAAGTTTCTCATTAGCTTCATGTGCAGTGTTTTGTGGTACAGTAATGTTTCATGGTACTGTTTAGTGGTACAGTGCTGTTTCATGATACAGTACTGTGTTATGGTACAGTGTTGTATTTCATGATGCTTCTGTTTCATGGTACAGTAGTTTCATGTTACAGTGCTGTTTCATTCAAATTCAAAGTTTATTTCTACATGATACATTCCTTGTACAGAAATGAGTGACACTGTAATGTATGCAGAAAACCCATGGTTATGTAGAGCACTGTGGGCAAGCTTTAGTGTAACTTAAGACTACAAGGGCAATAAACATTATACATATGTATATAAGGACATTAAGTTATACACAATAAAATTGATTCAGTGAATATGTAATGAATGTATATGTACAGTGTACATACATACGATAGTGTTGTTTCATGGTGCAGTACTGTTTCATGGTGCAGCACTGTTTCATGGTACAGCACTGTTTCATAGTACAGCTCTGTTTCATGGTACAGAACTGTTTCATGGTACATTACTGTTTCATGGTACAGCACTTTCATGGTACAGAACTGTTTCATGGTAGTGCTGTTTCATGGCACAGTGCTGTTTTATGGTACAGTGCTGTTTCATGGTACAGTACTGTTTCATGGTACAGTATTGTTTCATGGTACAGCCCTGTTTCATGGCAGAGCACTGTTTCATGGTACATAACTAAGTTTCATAGTACGGTAAACTCCTGAAGGGAGGTTCCTTGATGCTGGTGAGGGGCTCTAGATTTAGGGAATTGCATGTTCGCCAATTCCCTGAATTAAGCCTGAATACCTTTCTTTCCCCCTTCCCACACACAGGTGCAGTATAATCTCTACGGGTTTAGCGCTACCCATAATAATAATAATAACAATAATAATAATAGTACGGTACTGAGATTCATGGTACTGTGTTATTTCATGCAGTGATGTATGACCCTTGAGGGTTTAGCACTTAGTTATGATCATAAATGTTGTTGTAATAAAGTTGGTAGAATTACCGACAATATGTAAAGTTACAGTACTGTGTCCTTTTACTTTACATAAATGTTGTTGCATAGTGCAGTACCATTTCATGGTACAGTACCATTTCATGGTGCAGTATTGTTTCATGGTACAACATTGTTTCATGGTACATTACTGTTTCATAGTGCAATACTAAAAGAGGTCAATATATCTGAAATGCGCAGGGAGACACTGGTCAGAGAAATAGCAAGCATCGAACTTAAGCTAAAAGAATCCTTTAGGAGTCAGGAATCGCGGGAAGAACTAAAAGCCATAAATGAAATCGAAAGAAACCCAAAGTATTTCTTCTCCTATGCCAAATCAAAATCGAGAACAACGTCCAGTATTGGGCCCCTACTTAAACAAGATGGGTCCTACACAGATGACAGCAAGGAAATGAGTGAGCTACTCAAGTCCCAATATGACTCAGTTTTTAGCAAGCCGCTAACCAGACTGAGAGTCGAAGACCAAAATGAATTTTTTATGAGAGAGCCACAAAATTTGACTAACACAAGCCTATCCGATGTTATCCTGACGCCAAATGACTTCGAACAGGCGATAAATGACATGCCCATGCACTCTGCCCCAGGGCCAGACTCATGGAACTCTGTGTTCATCAAGAACTGCAAGAAGCCCCTATCACGAGCCTTTTCCATCCTATGGAGAGGGAGCATGGACACGGGGGTCGTCCCTCAGTTACTAAAAACAACAGACATAGCCCCACTCCACAAAGGGGGCAGTAAAGCAACAGCAAAGAACTACAGACCAATAGCACTAACATCCCATATCATAAAAATCTTTGAAAGGGTCCTAAGAAGCAAGATCACCACCCATCTAGAAACCCATCAGTTACACAACCCAGGGCAACATGGGTTTAGAACAGGTCGCTCCTGTCTGTCTCAACTACTGGATCACTACGACAAGGTCCTAAATGCACTAGAAGACAAAAAGAATGCAGATGTAATATATACAGACTTTGCAAAAGCCTTCGACAAGTGTGACCATGGCGTAATAGCGCACAAAATGCGCGCTAAAGGAATAACAGGAAAAGTCGGTCGATGGATCTATAATTTCCTCACTAACAGAACACAGAGAGTAGTCGTCAACAGAGTAAAGTCCGAGGCAGCTACGGTGAAAAGCTCTGTCCCACAAGGCACAGTACTAGCTCCCATCTTGTTCCTCATCCTCATATCCGACATAGACAAGGATGTCAGCCACAGCACCGTGTCTTCCTTTGCAGATGACACCCGAATCTGCATGACAGTGTCTTCCATTGCAGACACTGAAAGGCTCCAGGCGGACATCAACCAAATCTTTCAGTGGGCTGCAGAAAACAATATGAAGTTCAACGATGAGAAATTTCAATTACTCAGATATGGTAAACATGAGGAAATTAAATCTTCATCAGAGTACAAAACAAATTCTGGCCACAAAATAGAGCGAAACACCAACGTCAAAGACCTAGGAGTGATTATGTCGGAGGATCTCACCTTCAAGGACCATAACATTGTATCAATCGCATCTGCTAGAAAAATGACAGGATGGATAATGAGAACCTTCAAAACTAGGGAGGCCAAGCCCATGATGACACTCTTCAGGTCACTTGTTCTATCTAGGCTGGAATATTGCTGCACTCTAACAGCACCTTTCAAGGCAGGTGAAATTGCCGACCTAGAAAATGTACAGAGAACTTTCACGGCGCGCATAACGGAGATAAAACACCTCAATTACTGGGAGCGCTTGAGGTTTCTAAACCTGTATTCCCTGGAACGCAGGAGGGAGAGATACATGATTATATACACCTGGAAAATCCTAGAGGGACTAGTACCAAACTTGCACACGAAAATCACTCACTACGAAAGCAAAAGACTTGGCAGACGATGCACCATCCCCCCAATGAAAAGCAGGGGTGTCACTAGCACGTTAAGAGACCATACAATAAGTGTCAGGGGCCCGAGACTGTTCAACTGCCTCCCAGCACACATAAGGGGGATTACCAACAGACCCCTGGCAGTCTTCAAGCTGGCACTGGACAAGCAACTAAAGTCAGTTCCTGATCAGCCGGGCTGTGGCTCGTACGTTGGTTTGCGTGCAGCCAGCAGCAACAGCCTGGTTGATCAGGCGCTGATCCACCAGGAGGCCTGGTCACAGACCGGGCCGCGGGGGCGTTGACCCCCGAAACTCTCTCCAGGTAAACTCCAGGTAATACTGTTTCATGGTACAGGACTATTTCATGGTACAGTACTATTTCATGGTACAGTAACGTTTCATGGTACAGTGCTGTTTCATGGTACAGTGCTGTTTTATGGTACAGTACTGTTTCATGCCACAGTGCTGTTTCATGGCACAGTGCTGTTTCATGGCACAGTGCTGTTTCATGGTACAGTACTGTTTCATGGTACAGTACTGTTTCATGGTACAGTGCTGTTTCATGGTACAGCACTGTTTCATGGTACAGTACTGTTTCGTGGTGCAGTAGTTTAATGTTACAGTACTACTCACCTAGTACAATACTGTTTGATGGTACAGTACTGTTTCATGGTACAGTGGTTTCATGGTACAGTGCTGTTTTTATGGTACAATATTGTTTCATGGTACAATACTGTTTCATGGTACAGTGCTGTTTTGTGGTACAATATTGTTTCATGGTACATTACTGTTTCATGGTACAGTGCTGTTTCATGGTACAGTGGTTTCTTGGTGCAGTGCTGTTTCATGGTACAATATTGTTTCATGGTACAGTGCTGTTTCATGGTACAGTACTGTTTCATGGCACAGTAGTTTCATGGTACAGAACTTTCATGGTACAATACTTTTTCATGGTACAATACTGTTTCATGGCACAGCACTGTTTCATGGTACAGCACTGTTTTATGGTACAGTGGTGTTTCATGGCACAGAACTGTTTCATGGTACAATACTTTTCATGGTATAATACTGTTTCATGGTACAGTGCTGCTTCATGGTACAGCACTTCCATGGTACAGTGTTTCATGATACAGTACTGTTTTATGGTACAGTGCTGTTCCATGGTACAGTAGTTTTATGATACAGTAGTTTTAATGTACAGTACAATTTATTAGTACAATACTATATCATGGTACAATACTGTCCCGTGGCCTGGCAGGCAACGCACTCGCCTCACACGCTGTGGTGTTCGATCCCCGGCTGGGTGGAAACATTAAGCATTTCCTGACACTTGCTGTCCTTGTTCACCTGGCAGTAAATGGGAACCTGGGTGTTAGTTAACTGTTGTGGGTGGCATCCTGGGGGAGGGGGCAAGACTGAAGGACCACACCTCTCAAGTGAGGTTCCTTGACGTTAGTGAGAGGCTCTTGATCTAGGAAATTGAATCTGTGCTCCAGTTCCCTGAATTCAACCTGAATACTTTCCCTTTCCCCCCCTACTCCACGGGAGCTGTACTCACCTAGTTGTGGTTGCAGGGGTCGAGTCATAGCTCTTGGTCCCGCCTCTTCACTGGCCGCTACTGGAGCTAAATAATCCCTACGGGTTTAGCGGTCCCCCTTGATTATAATAACAATAATGCCTTGCAGCAATATATGACCCTAAGGGGATTAGCGTTTAATTAAATAGTGACTATAGTCGATAGATTTTAAAACCCTTTGGAAATAATTCATTTTTAACTTTTTTTAGGTTATCTTTGATTTGATAATTGTATTTATGTGTACCTCTGGCTAAATAAACTTACTTGCAACTGATCAAAAGAAATAAACTTACTCTCCCTCCTTGGATTGAACTCGAGGGTCTCCCATACCCCAGATGCTACATAACCCCTACGGTTTTAGTGCTTCCCCCACCTGACTGAGATCAATCTAGTCTGATAGAAATCACCAGCTGACTGATGCAACCTTTGATTAATTAATTTACACGAATAAATAAAGAGTGTAACAAACAGAGGAGTTAGAGACGTGAGGTTTTCTGTAGTGAGAGAGACATTAGTATTGTAAAGTGTGTTAAGTGACCACTACAGTAGTGTTGTGTAGTGTGTTAAGTGACCACTACAGTAGTGTGAGGGGGAGGATCCCTGGCTGCTGCTCTACAATGCTCAACCAATATATCCAGGAGCTGGAGCAGGTAATTAATGTAGTGATCTAGCACTACTAGTGAAGTGAAGCTGTCTGACTCACGGGGCTTAATTAAGTGCAAGCAACATCCTCTTTACAAAAGTATGTTACAGTGTAGGTTATAATTATAACCATAATTTTTAAAGGGGGTGGAGGGATAAGCCAGTGGAAGGCCTCGGTCAGATGACCAAAAGCTCCAGCTGCGGGTCATGACTAAGACCAGCGTCAGGAAACACTTATCCTGTTTCCTGACAAACCTTACCTAACCTGACCTATATAACACCGACTGGCTATGACTAAGACACATGTGCAACATCTGGGTAGCTTTATAAAGCCTCAGATGGGTAATATATCTCAAAGATGCCCAGATGTTACACATGGCTGTAAGAATGAGTCTAGACAGCATGCCAGTAACTTTATTTTGTGCCTGACAGTATTTTATTACATGTAAACAACATTACCTATATACTGCAGAAAAGAAATAAATTTATTGTTTTTATTTTTATTATTTCTAGACTTTCCCAATGGAAATAAGTCACTTTGATTTTTTGGGTTATCCTATGTAAGTTACATATACATTGAACTATGTATGATAATTGTATTTGTGTGTAGAAACATTGGGCACGTTTATTTACACCTGTTGTTGATGTTCATCCATCAGTAAAATGGGTACCTGGGTGTTAGTGGACTGGTGTGGGTCGCATCCTGGGACAAAACTGACTTAATTTGCCTCAAATGCTCTGCATAACAAGCAGCTTGTTATATAGTAGTATGTCATTGATGTCAGCTACGACTGTATACAGGGTACATGTAGTAAATAAAGATACGTATTATTATTATAATTATTATTATTATTATTATTATTATTATTAAATTATAAACTTAAAAAAGATTGCATTGTGTGATGGCTTAACCTAGATCAGTGGTACCTCATCTGTCTTTATAAGTGAGCCACATTAGATGGTCAAATGTATGGTGAGGACTGTACCTTAAAACAGAAGGTGAACTAATGTAATAACTAATATGGCTTAATTGTTAATAGCATTAATACCCTTCAAAGGAGGTGCCTTTATACTGACGAAAGGCACTTGTTCAAAAGAATTGGAGCTACCCTCCCTTTTCTGCCCTGGTGGGCACTACAGATGAGAGGCAAGTTATACAAGGTTCAGCAGAATGTGACCCACATGGGTTTAGCGCTTAACATGAATTAAAAAAATCGACAACATAAGCATTTGGCTTTCCTCCTCCAACAGGAATTTCCATTTTCAGAGGAATATCTTTTAGTGCCCTGTGGCCTGATGGCTAAAGCTCTCGCTTCACACAGTGATGTGTGGGTTCGATTCCCGGCGAGGGTAGAAACATTGGGCATGTTTCCTTACACTGGTTGTCTATGTTCCTCATCAGTAAAATGGGTACCTGGGTGTTAGTCGACTGGTGTGGGTCACATCCTGGGACAAAACTGATCTAATTTGCCCAAAATGCTCTGTGAGCATAACAAGCAGTTTTCCGTATACATACTAGTATGTCAGCTAGGCCTGTATACATTGTACATGTACTTGTAGAAATAATGTTATTATTATATTATTATTGCAGTGGAACCCCGAGTTTTGTCCTTAATCTGTTCCAGGAGCTAGGACTAAAGTCGAAATGTCTTAAAGTCGAAGTAATATATCCCATAAGAAATAATGTAAATCCAATTAATCCATTCCAGACCCACAGAAATATTCACAAAAAATACATTTTTTAAAGAATAAATATACTTTTACATACACACAACACACATAAATACATATAATATTTAAATTAATAATACAATAGATAAATTAACATTTAAATAAACATTTAAAATAACATTTACTATTTACGTTTTTGAGGACTGTTGCTGGCATCTGGAAGATAGGGAGGAATGAGGGAGCACTTATTATTGGGATAAGATAAGATAAGATTTCGTTTGGATTTTTAACCCCGGAGGGTTAGCCACCCAGGATAACCCAAGAAAGTCAGTGCGTCATCGAGGACTGTCTAACTTATTTCCATTGGGGTCCTCAATCTTGTCCCCAGGATGCGACCCACACCAGTCGACTAACACCCAGGTACCTATTTGCTGCTAGGTGAACAGGACAACAGGTGTAAGGAAACGTGTCGAAATGTTTCCACCTGCCGGGAATCGAACCCGGGCCCACCGTGTGTGAAGCGGGAGCTTTAGCCACCAGGCCACCGGGCCACCTGGAAGGGGAATCCCCTTCCATAAAGACTTTAAGTAACAAGCCCTTATCTGGGGTTACTTCCTTTCTTTGTCTTTTAATGCCACTAGGACCAGCTTGAGTCACTGGACCCCTGTCGCACAAAATAACTGTCCAGAGTCCTCTGTGTCTGGCGCCTCTTTAACATTTCCCTAAAATGGGACATGGTTCTGTCACTGAACTTGTTGCAGAGATGGCTTGTTTCAGCTTGCTCAGGGTGGTATTTTTCCACAAAACTTTGCAACCTATTCCATATTCCACACGTCCTAAGTTACTGAAGAAGGCACCTCCTCCACTCCCTCTTCCTCCTCCTCCTCCTCCTCCTCCTCCTCCTCCTCCTCCTCCTCTGAAGCAAGTTCCTCAGCTGTGGTCTGATGCTGTTCCAGATGAAGCTCTTGCAGCTCTTCAGTGGTTAGCTCTTCCCTATAGTCCTTCACCAATTCTTCCACATCCTCGCCACTCACCTCCAACCCCATGGACCTTCCCAATGCCACAGTACCTTCCACAACAGGCAGCTGGTCGGCACACCACTCGTATTTTTGTACTACGTATTTCTTTCTTCACTTATATGGTGTTTCTTGCTTTACCAAAGGGGTGCCACTAGGAAGTTTCTTTGGGCCCATGGTGACTTATTTCACAGTTGCACTCAATAAACAAGCACCAAACACAATGAATTAATTGTGAAATGTTTGGATGAGCGTGCAGGGTAATGTTCACTCAAAGATAAACAAGCAGCCAAACTGACTCATGACACCTGCGCGGGGAGGCGCGCGGCCAGGTGGACAGGTCTGGTAAGTGGGATGAAACATGGGACACAGTGTGAAACTCGGGACAAAATTTAGCCGAAAAAACAGTTCTAAACTCGAAGCGTACGATACTCAGGGTGGATGAAACTCGGGATTCCCCTGTACCTCTAAGAATCTTGGAGAAATTTTAGGAGCCTTTTCACATTAAGCATTTATTGAGATTTTAAAATTGATGCTGGTTATTTTATTCTGGTGTGATAATACAGTATTTATTTGTGTTGTGTTTTTTATTCATGCTAGTAATTTTTTGCCGGGTCACCATCTGGAAAAGACACGGGCTGGGACAATACCGGCAAACCTACTACAGTGGACCCCCGGTATTCGATATTAATCCGTTCCTGAGAGCTCATCGAATACCGATAATATCGAAAACCGAATCAATTTTCCTCATAAGAAATAATGAAAATCAAATTAATCCGTGCAAGACACCCAAAAGTATGAAAAAAAAAATTTTACTACATGAAATATTAAGTTTAATGCAATAGAATAATTACAATAACAATAAAATAATTGACACTTACCTTTAATGAAGATCTGTTGATAAGATAAGATTTTGTTCGGATTTTTAACCCCGGAGGGTTAGCCACCCAGGATAACCCAAGAAAGTCAGTGCGTCATCGAGGACTGTCTAACTTATTTCCATTGGGGTCCTCAATCTTGTCCCCCAGGATGCGACCCACACCAGTCGACTAACACCCAGGTACCTATTTGCTGCTAGGTGAACAGGACAACAGGTGTAAGGAAACGTGTCGAAATGTTTCCACCCGCCGGGAATCGAACCCGGGCCCACTGTGTGTGAAGCGGGAGCTTTAGCCACCAGGCCACCGGGCCTGATGGGATGGAAGAAGGGGAGAGGTGTTAGTGTTTAGAAGGGGAATCCCCTTCCATTAGGTCTTGAGGTAGCAAGTCCTTTTCCAGGGTTACTTCCCTTCTTCTTTTAATGCCACTAGGACCAACTTGAGAGTCACTGGACCTCTGTCACACAACAAATCTGTCCATAGAGCTCTGTACCTCCTGTTCCTTTACGATTTGTCTAAAATGGGCCACAACATTGTCATTGTAATAGCTGTGTTAGGGTGATTTTCATCCATAAAGGTTTACACTTCAACCCACTGTGCACACATTTCCTTAATTTTTGAAGTAGGCATAAACCCTTCAAAATCTTTCTTAATTTCCATGCTAATTCTCACCCTTTTTACCACAGGGTTGGCACTAGAAGCTTTCTTGGGGCCCATGGTGACTTATTTTGCAGAAACGAACACCAAACACAGTGATAATATGGATAATATGGAATGTACCGAATGTATCCTTAGATGCGCGCACACTGGCTGGCTTGTAAACACTCGCACACAAGGGGCAGTTCAAGCCACATGTGGACAGGTCTCGTACGAATCTTATCGAATACCGAGGAAAATTTTTTGCGATATAATGCATCGAATACCGATGCCATCGAATACCGGGGGTCCACTGTACACTACTTACTTGTAGTTTTTTATTGTTTGTTAATAATACATATCTTTATTTTTCTTCTGTGTTCCATTTATTGTTCATATCCAAGTGTGCTGATTGATCTACACAATTTAGGCAATCTTCAAATTTCAAAACTATTTACCTATTCTCTCTTTCTGTGGATTAAATTTGATTTCCTTCCATTACCCTGCAGTGTATGACCTTTATGGTCATGAAAGTTATTCTTCCTTCAGACTGGAATCTTTTAGTTTTTTGCAGTTTGCCCAAAATCTGCCTCCACTTTTTTATTTCTCTCATCCATGCTTTCCTGGCCTGTTGCCCTTTGTGTACAAGTCAATGAACAGTTTGCACCCGTATAATAATCCATATTTTTCAAACATATCTTGCTAAACTGAGGGAAATAGTTTGCAGACCTGTCATTCTTTAGTAAACAGTTTTTAGTACAATACTGCATTGCTGTTTATTACTGGACACATAAGTACTCACCTAATTGTGGTTGCAGGGGTCTGGTCATAGCTCCTGGCCCCAAGTGTTGAGATGGGTAATAAATAATTGTTTATTGTGCTAAGTCATTTTTACATGCTGTTACCTGTTAAAGGCTTATCATATACAGTGGAGTTTCAATGCTCGAACAGCTCCCTACTCAAACAGTTTGGTATTCAAGTGCTCTGTTCGGTAAAAAAATTGCTCGGTAGTCAACTGTTTGCTTGGTACTTGACCAAACAAACACAACTTGCCAGAACTTTGCTGTGAACTATTTCATGTTTAGTCACATTTTTTGGTGTTTTTTTTTTAATATTATTTGTATAAATAAGTCACCATGGGGGCCTAAGAAGATTAGTGATAACAGCCAGCAAGAAGTAAATCGGTTGGGAAAAATTTGTTCGGTACTCGAACAGAACGGCACTCAAACAGCCTTCTGGAACGAATTAAGTTTGAATACCAAGGTTCCACTGTACATACTCTGTGGAGCTGAATAGGACCTCAGCACATTTAACAAGCTGTGTGTGGCAAGGCCTGAAAAGGGTTTTATGATAGACAGAGGGCAAAAGTTATATTTCTGATCCCAAAATTAAAATCTTTTTCTAGGCAGGATTGATACCTCTGCTAATTTGGTAATTGTTGGGTAAAACCAAAGACACTAAATTAAAAATGAGAATGCTTCAATTTTGCACATTCACTAGAGTGCAACCGTTGATTCAAATTCAAATTCAAAGTTTATTCTCTATAAGGATTACATTGCTGAGCTTACAGAATTTGGTTATTGTGTGGTTTACATGTAGTAAAATAATGATTACGGAGTGTACCACTAGAACACCTAGCATGGTTAGGCATTTCGGGCAGACTTAGTTTAAATCTTAATTTTAAAATATTACAAATTATGAGGTAAGTTGGTATTATGGCTAAGTGACTAAATACTAGTTTGTGAGTTTAGCAATGTGAATGCTTTTGTTTTGGCACAGTACATAGTTTCAGTATTGGAGTATCACAGGATTCATTATTTTAAGATTGAGATTAATATTTCTGTTTATGGTCAAATGGGTGAGTGAGTGTGAACCACCAGGTGGTATTCGTGTAGTTAGTTGACGGGCTGTATCAGGGAGATAAGATGTTTTCTAATGGTAGTTTTGAAGGTGATGAATGTGTCTGCAGTTCTAGAGTTCTCAGGTAGGGTGTTCCAGATTTTAGGGCCTTTGACATACATTGAATTTTTGATGGTAAAATGCGATGTTAGTTACAGTATATCATTTATTGCCTTTTATCCCTTCAAGGTATGGGAGTACCTTGATGCTGATGAAGGGCTCTTGATCTAGAAAGTCATAGATACCATGCCTAGTTGACCAGGTGAGCACCAGACAAACCTGGCCCAGGGCCTGGCTGCAGAAGGAAAACTTTCAAAACTGGTCAAAGGTGTATCAGAGGTATTCCTCAGATCAAACCTGATTACCATCCACCCTTCCCATTCCTCAGGCACTGTATTACCCTTGCAGGTTTAGTGCTTCCTCATGAATGTACTGTGATTATAAATAGTAATAATAATCATTGATGTACATAGCAGTAGCTTTATTTTTTAAGAGATGCTGAAGGTGTTTTAGCAAGTATTAAAAGCAAGCAAAAGTAATACAGGTTGGCCATCACTAACCTAGTAGTCAGTAATCTGGTTCCATCAGTAATCTGGTACTAATTTCGGCTAGCATAATTTCAAATTTCCAGGGTCACCCCACCAACCTCCCCCTACTGTTTGGTGGCGTTACTTGCTGCATAAGTCATTCCAATTTGCTTTTTTTCCATTTATTGTTATAACCTGCTCACTTTTAGCCCTAGCCATAGTTCCAACGAATAAAATAAATACTGTACTTCTCATTGTGTAAAGAACATACTCTGTATATTGTCCATAAAAGATAAGGAGGCTTTGAAGCCACTGTTGGTCGCCATAAACTCAGCTCACTTAGATAAGCTGTGACTGGTAAATTGGGCCTATATGTGAGAGAATAGGTCTTGTGTGGTAAGTGTGCACTATATAAAAAAAAAGTCCTGCAGCATGCAGTACATAATGAGAAAAAATGCAACTGTGTTTAGGTGTAAAACAGCAAATTTGTGGTACATTTTTGTATGGTTTTTATGGTTGTGTTCTCATATTTTTGGTCTCATTTGATAGAATGGAAGATATATTACAGAATTAGATATTATTTTGACTGGTTTCACGAAGGAAAGTACCTTGAAATTGAGCTCAAAGTAGCAAAAATGTTCAATTTTTGCCGATGTTCAAGAGTAAAATGACATCACTGTCCAATATGTGTCCAACTGGCTGGTTTAATATGTAGTCATGAATGGATTGACATCATTGACATTATTTATAATGCAGTAGTCTGCATAACAGTCAATCTTCTATTTTTTGTGTGAATAAAAATTCAATATGGAAAGCAAGTGTAATATAAGAAGGGCCTGGAGACATGACTAATGAACAGAGAAAATGTTATGTTGGTAGTTTGGTAGACTGGAACAATGGAATGGGCCAAAATTAGGGCGTAAAGTGGGCAAAATCATAAAATATCACAAAATAACGCCATTGGGTTAAGTGTATTTTAACCTAACCACTCTGTAATCCGGCACCCTACAGGTCCTAATGGTTCCGGATTAGTGATGGTCAACCTGTACTTTATTTTAATTAGCCCCATAATTCTGGCCATATGAGCATCATCCTGCTGAGATTATTGTTTTCATTTCTTGACAGGATCCCTTTGATGGGGAGGAGTTCGTTGAGCGGTTAGCTTGGCGGGTCAATGCCAGTGTATCACCTCCTGGCAGTACAGATACTGGCTTTAATCCAGACTTACTTCATGAAGCCTTCACACAAGCCATCAAGTTAGTATAACCTACTGAAAGGTGAAACGAAGGCTGTAAAGCAGTCTTACACTAGACTTTATATATACATAAATATAGTATGTATATAAGATTTTTGTATAAATACAGTATGTACTAATTATTTTACCACATCATCCATTTCCCACCACAGTAGGGTGATACTGTATAAAGCAGAAATTGCATTTACTATCATTCATTCAATAACTGTCTTGGCAGAAGTGCATAGACATCACAGTTTGCATGATTCTGAACTGCAGCTGTTATAGTTCCCACCTCCAAGATTCACAGTCTGGATAATCAATTTCTTTCAGTCCATTCATAAATGTTACCTTGCTCACACTTCAGCAGCATGTCAAACCATTAAAAATCACTTGCCACAATTTTGCATAGACATGCCTGCTGGATGCTCAACCCCCCTTCCTCTCAGCCACCAATAAAAAACTCTATTACCCTTGCAGCCTTTCCTGGGATAACCCCTGCCTGTCCTTCTGCCTTGAATTTCTACAGTATATTAGTCACCCCATTCTGCTATGTTTTTTAAATTCCTTCTTTTACAAACCCTCTCAAGCTCCTACACCAATCTTTGCAACTTCTCTTCAGACTATCACAAAAGTATCAAGTCATCAGCAAAAGGCAACTGTAACAAATCCCACTTCATATCACATTCATTGCCTCTTTACTTCCACGTCTCTCTCTGACACCCTAGCATTCACTTCTTTTACAGTCACATCTATAAATATATTAATCAACCATGGTGACATCACATATCCCTATGTAAGGTTTACTTTTAATGGAAATTAGTTTCATTCTCTCCTACATACTTTGTTGTTATTATTATGATGACAATTGGTAATGATGAATAATAATGATGATTGATGATGATAATGATGATGCATCCCTGAAGGGGTACCTTCAAGTGGTTGCTAGAACTTTTTTTTCTATTCTCCTCTTTTTTCTTTCTTCTTCCTCCAAACTTTTGTCTGTAACTTGAGAATGCCGTATGTGATTGGCTTCAATTTTTTGACAATCGTTGGCTTACTGTACCAGGAAAAGGGTTCAACTGTTAGACCACTTCCTTTATATCACAGGGACCTACAGTTGCTAGATGAGAGAACAGCTAAAAAGTGTGAGCGTGTCGAGGCAGCAGTAAAAGAAGAGGAAGTGCGTCATTGGCATAATGTAGCACAACTCTTGGACAACAATAGGGTAAGCTTATTATGTATCTGTGTATGTAAAGGTAGAAAGTTGAAAGTGAACATAGAAAAGAGTAAGGTGATGAGGGTATCAAATGATTTAGATAAAGAAAAATTGGATATCAAATTGGGGAGGAGTATGGAAGAAGTGAATGATATTTGGGAGTTGACGTGTCAGCAGATGGATTTATGAAGGATGAGGTTAATCATAGAATTGATGAAGGAAAAAAGGTGAGTGGTGCATTGAGGTATATGTGGAGGCAAAAAATGTTATCTATGGAGGCAAAGAAGAGAATGTATGAAAGTATAGTAGTACCAACACTCTTATATGGGTGTGAAGCTTGGGTTCTAAATGCTGCAGCGAAGAGACGGTTGGAGGCAATGGAGATGTCCTGTCTAAGGGTAATGTGTGGTGTAAATATTATGCAGAAAATTCGGAGTGTGGAAATTAGGAAAAGGTGTGGAGTTAATAAAAGTATTAGTCAGAGGGCTGAAGAGGGGTTGTTGAGGTGGTTTGGTCATTTAGAGAGAATGGATCAAAGTAGAATGACATGGAGAGCGTATAAATTTGTAGGGGAAGGAAGGCGGGGTAAGGGTCATCCTTTGTACAATGTGTACGTCAGACCCATACTGGAGTATGCGGCACCAGTTTGGAACCCACACCTGGTCAAGCATGTCAAGAAATTAGAGAAAGTACAAAGGTTTCCAACGAGGCTAGTTCCGGAGCTAAGGGAAATGTCCTATGAAGAAAGGTTGAGGGAAATCGGACTGACGACACTGGAAGGTCGGGGAGACATGATAACATCATACAAAATAATGCATGGAATAGACAAGGTGAACAGAGACAGGATGTTCCTGAGAGGGGACACAGTAACAAGGGATCACAATTGGAAGCTGAAGACTCAGACGAGTCACAGAGGTGTTAGGAAGTACGTACTTCTTTAGTCACAGAGTCATCAGGAAGTGGAATAGCCTAGCAAGTGATGTAGTGGAGGCAGGAACCATACATAACTTTAAGACGAGGTATGACAAAGCTCAGGAAGCAGAGAGAGAGAGGACCTAGTAGCGATCAGTGAAGAGGCGGGACCAGGAGCTGAGTCTCGACCCCTGTAACCACAATTAGGTGAGTACAGACATATACATATGTCATATATTGCAAACTCGTTATATATTGCGCCATGATAATTGTTAGTAAAATTCTGTTTGTAAGGAAAATGAGGTTTAACACTGAAACCTGAAAATTATTTAAGAGTTGTATATTTCAGGAAGCCTTCCAGAGCTTCCAGGATCTAGACAGTCACATAAATAGTGTGGCAACAAAGGTTGTTCATCTGGGTGACCAGTTGGAGAGTGTCAATACGCCAAGATCTCGTGCTGTTGAGGCACAGCGTCTCATGAATCATTTTAGAGAATTTCTCCTGCCAGGTCCCCTTGTCTCGGAAGTTTTCACTGACAAGACAAAGGTAAGACAACTGAAGTGTTATGTTTTAAAAAGTCTAGCAACAGAGCCTGGGTGTTGTTACAACTTTTGTGCTTTGATTCTCTTATTTGTTATTGGGTGATAAATACAGTACTGAATGTACATAGGAGACTATATTGCATAGTGTATATGTTGGTTAGTAAAACAGAGAATTTAATTTTAGTGTGCTGTATGTAGATATAGTGCCTGTCATTAAAATATGTTGGACCTCTCTCTAAAATCATGACCACAATTATTATTATTATAATCAAAGGGGAAGCGCTAAACCCGTAGGATTATACAGCGCCCGGGGGGGGGGATGTGGAAGGCATTCAGGCTTAATTCGGGGAACTGGAGCACAGTTCCAATTGGTGGTGAGGGGCTCCCTCACCAACATCAAGGAACCTTCCATGAGGGGTCATGACCACAAATAGGTCATCCCTGCACTTCAGGACATCCTTCAACTCTCTAGGAAGTGATTAACATATTTTTCAACTATTCAAGGGTAAATTTTCCCATGACTCACAGATAAGATAAGATAAGATTTCGTTTGGATTTTTAACCCCGGAGGGTTAGCCACCCAGGATAACCCAAGAAAGTCAGTGCGTCATCGAGGACTGTCTAACTTATTTCCATTGGGGTCCTCAATCTTGTCCCCCAGGATGCGACCCACACCAGTCGACTAACACCCAGGTACCTATTTGCTGCTAGGTGAACAGGACAACAGGTGTAAGGAAACGTGTCGAAATGTTTTCCACCCGCCGGGAATCGAACCCGGGCCCTCCGTGTGTGAAGCGGGAGCTTTAGCCACATCCTAAAGCCATGGGAGTTGGCTGATATCCTTCCCTAGTAGATTTCTCTATCTCAGTCCAGAAGTTTTCAGTGAGGTTGAAGCTGGGGAGTTTCCTGACCAATCATCAAAGAAAGTTACCTCACAGTCATTAAGCCATTGAACAACAGATTTTTACAGCATGGCAGGCACTGTTTTGCAAAAAAAAAAAAAAAAAAAAATGCACTTCACTTATTGAGTTTGGCAAATGATACCAGATCATTTATTACAGTATATTTATTACAGTTAACATTAGTGGGGATGTTTTTCTAAGCTTCCCTGAACTTGCTTTTGATATGGGCATGTCATGAACACTGTCCTCAGGGAACTGATGTAACCAGACAGCCAGATTCCACTACTTCCTTAATTTAATGTCCTGTCTTATGTAATCCTTGATCTCTGCAATTATCTCTTGTGTCAGTGATTTACTTTTGCCCATATTAATTCATCAGTAGCCATAAATACCAAACAAACATGGCCCTCAAGATCACACAGTACAGGGGTCACCACAGACACAAAACTGTCCATCACACAAGCACAGGATGAAGTCAGTCAACATAGGGAATCCTGAGACATCCCACTTCTAGTTGCCAGGGTAGGATAATCTTTTGTCTCAGTGACACATGCCAGGGTAGGGTATTACTTTGGACATTAAATTACATTGGGTGCCTTCCACACAACACACTTTAATGACAAGCAGTACTGTGTGTCTATTGTTAGCACTGTACAGTACTGATGACTTACTGGTTAATGTTATTTGATAAATTCCATTGTCAGACAGTATTATGTCATTTATTTCCATACACAAATAACCCGCACATAGAGGAGAGGAGCTTGCGACGACGTTTCAGTCCGATTTGGACCATTTACAAAGTTATTTATTTCCAGATTTATGAGGCAGCCGATGTTATTCAAAAATTACATCTAATAGCACAGGAGTTACCATCTGGCAAGTAGGTCTTTCTTAAATTTTTTTTTTGTTTCAAGGGTTACATATAATACCATTTTCCTCATCGGTGCTTCTCCTATTTGGTACAATTAAAAAATAAGAAAATGTTATTTTAGGGTCATTTTATTAGTCTGTCATTGCTACAAACATGATAAAAATGAAACAAATAAAAATTTAAGTAGTGATCCATTGTTTCCATAGGAGGAAGGACAGGCATGTACTGTGTGCATGTGTGTATGTAATAGGCTACAGGAACAGAACTATGCTAGTGGTGTCCTGTCGTCAGTGATTAATCTTGATGAATTTTTAATGGATGTAGCATTTACTGCTGTTCCTTGGATCCCATTTCACTGTTCTGACTCACTATTTGTAAGGAAAATCTTTTTGGTTTAATAATATGCCTCATTTTTTTTTTTTTTTTTTTTTTTTTTTTTTTTTTTTTTTTTTTTTTTTTTTTTTTTTTTTTGGTGTTTAATAATATGCCTCATTTTTTGTGTTTGCATTTATGGTATCTTATTCTTCCTGTGAAGAGCACTGTGAAATTATCTTTATCTTTGAGCTTATACTTTTATGGTCTTGTTTGTGGTTATCATCAAAGAAGGCATTTTTGATGTACAGTATATGTAACCCATTGTTCAGCTCTGGGAGCCATTTTACAGAATGTCTTTAAACTTTCTTGTTTATCCATATAGTATTTTATTTTTAGGTAAACATTATGTATCTAACATACATTGTAAACAGTTTACCAGTGTAGTTTATGAATTTGTGAATTTGTGGGAGTGATCATGTCGGAGGATCTCACCTTCAAGGACCATAACATTGTATCAATCGCATCTGCTAGAAAAATGACAGGATGGATAATGAGAACCTTCAAAACTAGGGAGGCCAAGCCCATGATGACACTCTTCAGGTCACTTGTTCTATCTAGGCTGGAATATTGCTGCACACTAACAGCACCTTTCAAGGCAGGTGAAATTGCCGACCTAGAAAATGTACAGAGAACTTTCACGGCACGCATAACGGAGATAAAACACCTCAATTACTGGGAGCGCTTGAGGTTCCTAAACCTGTATTCCCTGGAACGCAGGAGGGAGAGATACATGATTATATACACCTGGAAAATCCTAGAGGGAAATAGTACCGAACTTGCACACGAAAATCACTCATTACGAAAGCAAAGACTTGGCAGACGATGCACCATCCCCCAATGAAAAGCAGGGGTGTCACTAGCACGTTAAGAGACCATACAATAAGTGTCAGGGGCCCGAGACTGTTCAACTGCCTCCCAGCACACATAAGGGGGATTACCAACAGACCCCTGGCAGTCTTCAAGCTGGCACTGGACAAGCACCTAAAGTCAGTTCCGGATCAGCCGGGCTGTGGCTCGTATGTTGGTTTGCGTGCAGCCAGCAGCAACAGCCTGGTTGATCAGGCTCTGATCCACCAGGAGGCCTGGTCTCAGACCGGGCCGCGGGGGCGTTGACCCCCGGAACTCTCTCCAGGTAAACTCCAGGATCTTTGGTCTACTTTTACTCTTACAGTCCTCCCTCTGTAGGACAATTATGATGTCTATGGTGTATTTTTGCTTCATCTCATTTTTCATTCCATGACATGTAAAGCACTGTAAAATAGTAAATTCTATAGTCCTTCATTCAAGTCACAGACTCGATTTCTTGCTGTAGTGAATTTGTATTTCCAATCACTTTTACTGCTTTGTACTGTATTTTTGCATCTTCAAATATTGTCAAATATTTTTTAATTCTTATAACTAGTTATTTCTATACAAAAATTATTTATCAGTTCATTGTGTGCTATTTTTTCTTTTGATCAAGCAGTTAGCATTTGTTAGTCTTCCTATCATTTGTGAAGTTCATTTAAGTAAATTTTAAGTTTTGTTCCAGCCACTTTGTGACCATTTTTTATGACTCTTGTTTGTCAGAAAATATATTACAAATGGTTTTTATTAAATATGTTTCTATATTAGATATTGGCAGTTTGGAAGGATATGTTGTGTATATACGTATATGCTTCTAAACTGTTGTATTCTGAGCACCTCTGCAAAAACAGTGATTATGTGTGAGTGAGGTGAAAGTGTTGAATGATGATGAAAGTATTTTCTTTTTGGGGATTTTCTTTCTTTTTTGGGTCACCCTGCCTCGGTGGGAGACGGCCGACTTGTTGAAAAAAAAAAATTAGTTAAAGTGTTATTACATACAATTATCTCATAATGAAAATTACACAGATACCAAAAGATCAAGACCTGTGTCAGAAGTCTGTCGAATATTATTTACTTCTCATTCTTTTGCTGAATTTCACTGTAGTTCTAGAAATGTTTTCAGGTTTGAAAATGCCAAACATAAGATTGCTGAGAAGTATGATGAGATTGAACGTTCCCTCATCATGGAGTTCATTAAGGCTCACCGGGCAGGAGATAAGGACCGAATGAAAGAAATAGCTTCCACTTTGTCGCACTTCAAAGGTTATTCACAGTGCATTGATGCCTTCATAGAAGAAGCACAGCATGTAAGTTTTCTTCATGGTCACACTTATTTTGTATCTTGAGTGATTCAATTAAATTGTACCTAGCTCTATCCTTAATTTTTTTTTTTCAATGAACCAGCTGTATCCCACCGAAATGAAAGTTATCCTTAATGCATCACAAATTATAATTTATTTGTTGAATTACTAAATGCCTCCAGTATTTGAAAAAACGTATGTATTAAAGAACAAAAAAAGCACAATACTGTGAATGGAACAATGCACAAATAACTCACACAGGAGAGGAGCTTATGACAACGTTTCGGTTCAACTTGGACCATTTACAAAGCGAGACTTCATAAATGGACCAAGTCGAACCAAAACGTTGTAAGCTCCTCTCTCCTATGTGTGGGTTATTTGTGTAACTACATATTCTTATTCTCATGTACTTGTAATCACAATTTAGTTTTAAGGATGCCTGAAATGCTTTGCATAATAAGGGGCTTTCTATAAAGTAGTTATGTAAGTCTGTCACTGCAATTGTATAATATACTGTACCCCACTTCATAGAAATAAAGTTTAATTGTTAATGTAACTTTCAGCATATATTACAACTATATGGCCAATTTATAATTTGCTGTGTATAGTTTGAGAAATCCTAGGTAGTAGGTTGGTAGACAGCAATTGCCCAGGGAAGTACTACCGTCCTGCCAAGTGAGTGTGAAACAAAAGCCTGTAATTGTTTTACATGATGGTAGGATTGCTGGTGTCTTTTGTCTGTCCCATAAATATGTAAGATTACAGGTACGTCTTGCTACTTCTTCTTACACTTACGTCACACTACACATACATGTACAAGCATATATACACACACCCCTCTGGGTTTTCTTCTATTTTCTTTCTAGTTCTTCTTCCTGTTTATTTCCTCTTACCTCCATGGGGAAGTGGAACAGAATTCTTGCTCCGTAAGCTATGCATGTCGTAAGAGGTGACTAAAATGCCGGGAGCAAGGGACTAGTAACCCCTTCTCCTGTATAAATTACTAAATTTAAAAAGAGAAACTTTTGTTTTTCTTTTTGGGCCACCCTGCCTCGGTGGGATATGGCCGGTTTGTTAATAGAAAGAAAAAGAACTTTCAGCATATGTTACAAATATATGGCCAATTTATAATTTGCTGTGTATAGTTTGAGAAATCCTAGGTAGTAGGTTGGTAGACAGCAACTGCCCAGGGAGGTACTACCATCCTGCCAAGTGAGTGTAAAACAAAAGCCTGTAATTGTTTTACATGATGGTAGGATTGCTGGTGTCTTTTTATTCTGTCTCATACACATGCAAGATTTCAGGTACATCTTGCTACTTCTACTTACACTTGGGTCACACAACACATACATGTACAAACATATATATACACACCCCTCTGGGTTTTCTTCTATTTTCTTTCTAGTTCTTGTTCTTATTTATTTCCTCTTACCTCCATGGGGAAGTGGAACAGAATTCTTCCTCCGTAAGCCATGCGTGTTGTAAGAGGCGACTAAAATGCCAGGAGCAAGGCGCTAGTAACCTCTTCTCCTGTATGTATTACTAAATGTAAAAGGAGAAACTTTCGTTTTTCCTTTTGGGCCAACCCGCCTCGGTGGGATCCGGCCGGTGTGTCGAAAGAAAGTAAGTTTGAGAAATGTACATACATGTATATTTAATGGAGCATTTTATATTCAGCTAATGCTCCATCTTTTAGATTTTCCTATACAAAAGAAATTGTATCTCATATATGAAAAAATAATTGTGTAAGAGACTTGAATATAATTAATTTTTATGTAACAGATTTCAAAACGATCTTACTAACTTGAGCTTACTTACACAGGGTGCATTACGGTCTCGAGACCTCTACATAGAGGTGGTTCCTCTCTGTCATCGATCGGAGGTCCTCATACGAGAAGTGTTCACAAATCCAGAGCAAGTCATGGGGAAGTTTGTTCTTAATATATTCCAAGGACAGTTACAAGTAAGCTTGCACTTTGGGTTCTGAAATTTATTTTTTATTTCTAATGTGTACTATATGTATACTTTTGATATGCATGCCAGTGTAAGTGATAGAGTACTTGTACTTAATTTGGATGTGACACACATGTTCCTGTGTTTTGCTGTCTCATGTCTTCAGGTCTTTAACTTTTAGAATATTTTATTAATACAGTACAAGGCATTCTAATAATTGCAATGTATCCTCTAGGAATATATCCAGGTGAGGCTTGACAATAAGAGTGTACCAGAAATGTACCTGAAGAATTTGCATGAGTTATATTGCCAGACCCTTAAGCTATGCACGGATCTGCAGCGCTTCAACTTGGGCAATGATTCACAATTTCTGGCCAAGCTTACAAAGTCTATCTTTCAGCGTCACCTTCATTCATATATCAGGTGGGCTGTGGTATTTCGTAAAATGATATCTGTAAATTAAAAATATCCCAGAAATAAATGAATAGTTTTTTTGAAAGTGATAGTGGGGAAAATTATAAATTTAATCAAAGCAAAATTAAGGACAACAATTGGTAGGTAATTTATTTTAAGTTTGCAGTGGGAGAAATGAGAGAGTGTAGGGGGGAAAAAAATGATTAGTTATATGGAAAGGATTATGAAAAATAGAAATATTGGTGATGTGATGGTTGTTTAATATATTTATAGATGGGGTTGTAAAGGAAGTAAATGCTAGGGTGTTCGGGAGAGGGGTGGGATTAAATTTTGGGGAATCAAATTCAAAATGGGAATTGACACAGTTACTTTTTGCTGATGATACTGTGCTTATGGGAGATTCTAAAGAAAAATTGCAAAGGTTAGTGGATGAGTTTGGGAATGTGTGTAAAGGTAGAAAGTTGAAAGTGAACATAGAAAAGAGTAAGGTAATGAGGGTATCAAATGATTTGGATAAAGAAAAATTGGATATCAAATTGGGGAGGAGGAGTATGGAAGAAGTGAATGTTTTCAGATACTTGGGAGTTGACGTGTCGGCGGATGGATTTATGAAGGATGAGGTTAATCATAGAATTGATGAGGGAAAAAAGGTGAGTGGTGCGTTGAGGTATATGTGGAGTCAAAAAACGTTATCTATGGAGGCAAAGAAGGGAATGTATGAAAGTATAGTAGTACCAACACTTATATGGGTGTGAAGCTTGGGCGGTAAATGCAGCAGCGAGGAGACGGTTGGAGGCAGTGGAGATGTCCTGTTTAAGGGCAATGTGTGGTGTAAATATTATGCAGAAAATTCGGAGTGTGGAAATTAGGAAAAGGTGTGGAGTTAATAAAAGTATTAGTCAGAGGGCAGAAGAGGGGTTGTTGAGGTGGTTTGGTCATTTAGAGAGAATGGATCAAAGTAGAATGACATGGTAAGCATATAAATCTATAGGGTAAGGAAGGAGGGGTAGGGGTCTTCCTCGAAAGGGTTGGAGAGAGGGGGTAAAGGAGGTTTTGTGGGCAAGGGGCTTGGACTTCCAGCAAGCGTGCGTGAGCGTGTTAGATAGGAGTGAATGGAGACAAATGGTACTTGGGACCTGACGATCTGTTGGAGTGTGAGCAGGGTAATATTTAGTGAAGGGATTCAGGGAAACCGGTTATTTTCATATAGTCGGACTTGAGTCCTGGAAATGGGAAGTATAATACCTGCACTTTAAAGGAGGGGTTTGGGATATTGGCAGTTTGGAGGGATATGTTGTGTATCTTTATATGTGTATGCTTCTAAACTGTTGTATTCTGAGCACCTCTGCAAAAATAGTGATAATGTGAGAGTGTGGTGGAAGTGTTGAATGATGATGAAAGTATTTTCTTTTTGGGGATTTTCTTTCTTTTTTGGGTCGCCCTGCCTCGGTGGGGGACGGCCGACTTGTTGAAAAAAAAAAAATGTGATGGAAGGATAATATGACAGTGTTCCTTGTCCCTGACCTTTGGAAGGAAAACATGTAGAATGAGAACAAAAATGAGATTAGTTCCAATGGTGGCATAAGGGGTAAGGAGATGTATAGATGATTATGTAAGTAGAGCTGCCAGGAGACTTGTTGTCAACTCTTTGATTGGAGGTTTGAAGGGGAAAATAAGAGAGCATCAGATACTGATACATTGCAAAATATATATATATATATATTTTTTTTCCAGTGTGGAGACAAGATACTTAAGAGAGAAATTCAATTTAATTTTAAATCGCTACTATGAAGGCAAAGGACATCAGAAAAAAAATATACAGTCTGGAGGGTAAGTTAAAATACAGTTTATACACACATGCAATGGCAGACAGTGGCACAGCCACAGGAGGATGGAGGCCCAAATATTTTTTAGTTTTTTCAATTACTGGCTAATTTTCACTGTACTATATTGATCAGTGACCACAAAGCACAATAGTTGAAGATATTTCACATATATACTGAAAATAATATTTTTTAAAGGTGATTTCCTTGATTGTTTTGGCATGTTGTGATTTTTAAGCTCTCACCAGATTGAGATACTGAATTAAGCAGCCTACCCCATATCCCCCCCAAGATGAAATCCTGGCTGTGCTACTGATGACAGACCTGTTTGCTAATTAGGTGTTCTTTTGTAGGATGTTATGTATATATTAGGCTGCCTCTCATTTCCCTGCAATAAGTTGAGAATTCTCTTTATATTGGCCTGAAACTTTTATCAGATGTGTATCTTAGTAAAATGAAAGCTCATGTTGTTAGTGGGCACCGCAGCTCCCAATTCACCATTTTTTTGGGGGGGGGGGGGAGGGATATCTTACCCGGCCTTCAGAAAGTAATATTGTACTGTGTAGATTCATAGCCCTCTGGCCAACATTTATGTTCAACACAAAGAACACTCTGAGTTTAGAGAACTAAAACAAATAAGTCTGTGTCTTCCAATTTAAAAGTTTTTTTGGCCTCTTTCAAGATTCCAGTTTATTGGATGCATCAGAAAATTCAAATTTAGGGGCAGTTTCAGTTATTTCAAGTTTGATTTTTTTAGTAGTATATACTGTATGTTGAGGAAGTGGAACAGAATTCTTCCTCCATAAGTCATGCATGTCGTAAGAGGCGACTAAAATGCAGGGAGCAAGGGGCTAGTAACCCCTTCTCCTGTACACATTACTAAATTTAAAAAGAGAAACTTTCGTTTTTCTTTTTAGGCCACCCTGCCTCAGTGGAATATGGCTAGTTTGTTAAAAAAGAATACTGTATGTCTGGTATCCCCAGGCTACACTGATTTATTGCAAGGTCATTGTAATGATCTAAATACTGTACGAACAACACAAGCTTTATAATGTTTTAACTGCCTTTTTCTTTTTAGTATTAATGATATTCGACGAAATATCCAGGATGTGATCGGTACCAAAGCTAACATCAACATTGGACCTGCTGTTGAAAATTATGGTGGGGAGACATTTTTGTCTGAGGAGGTTGCTATTTCTTTACTTCAGGAGACCAAGCAAGCCTTTAAGAGGTGTCAAATGGTAAGTAGGATCCAGTAAAACTTGTTTTTTTTTTGCCAATTTTCACATGTTATACAGAATTGCATGCTCCAAACCTTAAAAAATATAAAATGTAAAAACTTCAATGTTGCAGTGAAAATCATCTGAGAAAAATGCAAGGGTGGACTGTCAAGTTAAAAACTAACAAATTTTCAAATGAGACATGACAGGGCTGATCTCTCAGACACGAAATATATGGAATAATTTTTTTTTATTGTTGGTCATTTCCCATAGAAGTAGGGTGATCCCCCCCCCCCCCCCAAAAAAGCAGGAAATGAATTCACTATAATTCATTCAGAAGTGCACTGACATCACAGTTCAGATGAACCTCCAAACTGCAACATCCTCACCCCTCCTTTCCAGTGAAGGCACTGTACTTACCACCTCCAGAACTCATCTGGCTAACCAGTTTCCTTGAATTCCTCCATATATGCTACATGCTCACACCCTACAAGCACAGCTAATCATGAAAACTACTTGTTTCCACTCCCATATTGTCTTACCCAGCCTGTGAGCGGATTTGATTTAAGCACTGTTTACAGGTGCATTCTCTCTCTTGATTATAAATTTCGTAAGTTACTCACCTTTCATAACATTAAAAATATAAGGGCTATTAAAAATGATCAAGTCCTGAAGCTGGAAACTTTGTATCATCTTGAGATAAGACATGCTGATCTTGAAATAAGTGTGTAAAAAAAAAAAAAAAAAATTTGAGTAACGAGGACTCATCACAGATGCCACCTACTGATCTTAAAAGCTGTTTATCTTCAAGCATTTAAATCATATCCTCTCAAGTTCTGATACAGAAAAATCTCATCCTGGGATTTGACAAATTTTAATGTAAAACCAGTGCAGCCCATCAGAAAATTTTAATTTATGATAATATATTTCTTAGTAGCTCTAGATGTTGTAGTTTTGCAACTAATCATATTGAAAGGACTGTATTTAGTGGCTTATTAGACACATGTTTTTTCCATAAAATGTCTCCAAAAACCACCCTGCATCCTATAAACTGAAGGTTAGTGATGGGAGTTATAAGTTTGGGGTGGGCTGTAACTCTCCCAGTTACACCTGATGCCGAGCCATTGAAACTAAAACAAGTCTAATAAGCCGCGTCTTATAGGCCACGAAATATGGTATACACCAAACTAGTGTATATTATTATATTTTTTTGCAGTTTGGCAACCAAATTTTAAATTCAAATTGCTGTACTGTGTATTCAAAATCATTGTATGCTGTATCACATTAATTTTTGTAGGGTTATTTTTTCTGCCTTTGAGTGTAATGTAGATTTTCTTTTATTTAACTGAGTTCATGATATACTACTAGAAAGATCATCTCAGGATTCTAGTGCATTCCTCCTTTAGATTCAGATTAGGTATCGCTGAATTGTAAATACAGCAGTCCTGTGCAAGACTTTTTGTACAGTGATATCCTCAAGATAATGTAGATATTAATTGTATGTGCATTTGCGCATTTCAGTTGTCCACACAGTCGGATGTTCACAACAATGCTGTTCAAATATTTGATCTTCTTACAAAAGCCTTATTAATTGAACACGTTGACTATGCAATTGGTATGTATTTCAAGTATTATTCTAGAAATTGCTTTTGAACTTTCATAACTAAAGTGGATAATATTTAGAAGGGAAATAATGGGACTAAAGCTTAAATTACAAAGCAACTTGTATAAGGAAAACAGTAGAAACCAGGTCAAATTATGCAAATGAAGGTTGAAGGTGTTGACTTACTTTATAAGTGATGCTTTAGTAAAATAGAAAATAGCCACAGAAGTCTGAAAATTTCATTACAGTACTTTATAAAAGACTAAAGAAATAGAAATGTTTACCAGTAAAAAAATTAATGCTAGAAATGTTCAATGTTCACGATGATGTTAGGTTGTTATGTAGTCATATTAAGATATATATGCAGTAATTGTGAGTGTACAATATTCTCTCCAGTAGTATTTAAATATGCACATGCTGAGTTTGAGAAGATAACAGGCTTTAAGTTTCTTCAAATGTTTTAAATATTTATTATCTGTCTTCAGAGCTTGGTCTTCAAGTCATCCCTGGAGGTGAGGTGCGCACACATCCAGAAATAAGTTTCTTTGAGGTGTTGCACCAGAGCAGTTCTATGATGAATCTCCTTGATAAATTATTCAGTGACACACTTGTTCCACTGGTAATGTGAGTTACATAATAATTTCACTTGTACATATGTATTAATTTTAATGTCTTTTATTATGAGCAAGGGGCTAGTAACCACTTCTTCTGTATACATTACTAAATTTTAAAGGAGAAACTTTCGTTTTTCCTTTTGGGCTGCCTCGGTGGGATACGGCCAGTGTGTTGAAAGAAATCTCTTATTATTTTGTTATAGTAAAGCATACCAGTACAGACACTAAAGAATGTAGTATTAGGTAGCATCTAGAATAGTAAGGTAAGAGATTACAGACATGTTTTTTCTTTGTTGCATAGAAGTGGTCTACTGGTTGGACATCTTTCAGTGCTCTTCACTCTGATGCTATTAACCTTATATGTTTTTAGTTTCATTAAATGAATATTATATTTGCAGGGAGCCTCTAAACCTGCAGGAGTCATATAATGTGGGGAATAGGAGGCAATCAGGTTAGATCCAGGAATAGGAGGATAGCTCTTACTTGTCTGATAAAGAACTCATCACCAGAAAAAAACATCACAATTAAAGATTGTTCTATAACTCGTGTTATTGTCTTCACTCTTGTCAGCAGTGCACCATTTCAGTCGCCTCTTTATAGCAGTCATGATGTTGTAAGTTGAATATTTGAGATAAAGGTTACAAATATTTTGAGTGTAGTTCTAATCTGTACTATTTTTATAACTGATCAGCTTTTTAAATCAGCGAATTGCCGAGTGAATGCATTATAAAAAGTATCACAATAGTTGAATAGTGCTTGAAAATGTTGAAGTACAATTTTAAGTAGGGTAATGACTCATCTTTAGATATGAAATAGGTTATAATTTCAGTCTGGTTATAGCTTCAGAAAATTAAACACTTTTTTTTTCCACAGTTCTACACCAAAGCATGGAGATTGCTTGCAAAAAAAAAAGCAGCTAGGAACAAGTCTGGAACAAAAGCTGGACTTGGGGCTGGACCGTACATTGTCTGCCATTGTCAGTTATATTCGACATGTGCTTACAGTTGAGCAAAAAAGAACTGATTTCAAGCCAGAAAATGATGACATTCTCATTACCAATGTCACTGTGGTATGTTTTAATTTTATCATTATTTTCCTGAATGACTTGAAATTAGTAAATATAAATAAATATCTATACAGTGGACCCTCGACTAATGATATTAATTGGTACCCGAGAACGAATATCGTTAGTCGAGTTTTTTTATCGTTAGTCGAGGCAACATGTTAGCGTTAACATGTATCGTTAGTCGAATTTAATGTTAGACAATGCCATCGTTGGTCGAGGGTCCACTGTATATATATTTTTTTAACAAGCTGGCCATCTCCCACTGAAGCAGGGTGACCTGAAAAAGAAACACTTTCATCACCATTCACACTATACATGTATATATATGCATGCCTTGGTGGGAGATAGCAAAGATTAGTGGATGAGTTTGGGAGTGTGTGCAAAGGAAGAAAGTTGAAAGCGAACATACCAAAGAGTAAGGTGATGAGGGTATCAAACGCGTAAGGTAAAATAAAATTGAATATCAGATTGGAGGGAGGTAGTATGGAAGAAGTGAATGTGCTCAGATATTTGAGAGTAAACTTGCTGGCAGATGGGTTCATGAAGGATGAGGTATAACATAGAATTGATGAGGAAAAAGGTGGGTGGTGCATTGAGGTATCTGTGAAGACAAAGAATATTATCCAAGGAAGCAAAGAAGGGAATGTATGAGAGTATAGTGGTACCAACACTCGTACATGGGTGTGAAGCATGGGTTGTTAATGTTGCAGTGGGAAGGAGGCTGGAGACAGTGGAGATGTTGTGTCTAAGGGCAATGTGTGGCATAAACATTATGCAGAGAATTTGTAGTGTAGAAATTAGGAGGAGATGTAGAGTTACTAAAAGTATTATTCAGAGGGCTGAAGAGGGGTTGTTGAGATGGTTAGGTCATTTAGACGGGCTGGAGCAAAATAGGATGACTTGGAGGGTGTGTAAATCTGTAGTGGAGGGGTAGGGGTTGTCCTAGGAAAGGATGGAGGGAGGGGGTAAAAGAAGTTTTGTGTGCAAGGGGCTTTGATATACAGCAGGCATGTGTGAACATGTTAAATAGTATTGGAAACTGAATGTTTTATGGGACTTTACGAGCTTTTGGAGTGTGAATATAGTAATGTTTTGTGAAGGGATTCAGCGAAACCAGTTAGCTTGACTTAAGAGTCCTGGAGGTGGGAAGTACAATGCCTACACTTTAAAGGAGGGGTTTGGGATATGCTGTTTGGAGTCACTTCTGAACTGTTTTATCTGTGTGCCTCTGCAAAGACAGTGTGAATGATAGTGAAAGTATTTTTTGGGGGGATCACCCTGCCTCAGTGGGATATGGCCAGTTCATTTAACCCCTTCAGGGTCCAAGGCCCAAATCTGAAGTGGTGCCCCAGTGTCCAAGAATTTAAAAAAAAAAAATTGTTATTTTTTCTTATGAAATGGTAGAGAATCTTTTTGTGAAGGTAATGAAACAAAAAGTACGAAATTTGATGGAAAATTGAGGAAATTATGCTCTCGCGAATTTTGATGTGTCAGCGATATTTACGAATCGGCGATTTTGCCAACTTTGACTCCCATTTTAGACAAATTACTTTATTCCAGTCAACCAAATTCTTAGCTATTTCACTAGTATTACTTCTATTCTATCAATTGAGCACAAGAAATCACCAAGTCAACTGTTTCAACTACAAAATAAAGTGATCGGAAATTAGTAATTTGGCCAATTTAACACAAAGTTCAAAATATTCCAATTTCAAAATAGGGTCCAGAATAGACAATGTAGGTATTCCTGGAACTAAACTAACATTTCCTCTGTTTATTAGTTACGTTTTGAGGCTTTACAAATAAATTCCATTTTGATTTTTTATTCACATAATGAATTTTTATTCACACCAAAAAATAGAAGATTTACTGTTATGCAATACTGTAATAATTGTATAAATATCATCACCATATTTGTGAATGCATATTAGACCCACCAGCTGGCATGTATTAGACGTGTGAGGTCGTTTGTTTACTCTTGAATATCGGCAAAAATTTAACGTTTCTGCTACTTTGAGCTCAGTTTCAAGCCACTTCCAGTGCGAAAACCAATCAAAATCATCTCCATTTCTGTAATATGTCTTCCATTCTATCAAATGAGACCAAGAAATTGCAAATAGAACTATAAAAAACATACGAAAAAACACTGCAAAGTCGCTGTTTTAATCGAAAAATCATGATTTCAGTTTTTTTCTCTCATACACAGCGTGCTGCAGGATCTGTTTTATGTGGTGCACACATACCACATAGATATATTCTCTCATATCTAGGCCCAAATGTACCACTCACAGTTTATCAGAGTGAGCTGAGCTCATGACGTAGATCTACGGTTTGGACCCTGAACGTAAAGCCGTAGATCTACGGGATGGACCCTCAAAGGGTTAAAAAATAGTCACACATTCATGCATGCATATACATAACTATACTTACACAGTAAACCCTCCTTTATTTTCAATGTGTTTTGCAGTATTTCTGTAAATTGTATGTTCTTTACTATATTAGGAATATAGTAGAGTACTTTAGTGTATTGTTTTGTTATTTTTTCATCATTTAGATTTAATGGACACTTGGAAAATCCCCCTTACTAGTCTGTTATATTGAAAGTTTACTGTATACATTATGGAGGCATACATGGTAAAATATGTATACACAACTATATGCACTCACTCATTGTCTCTCACTTGAATTGAGGGGATGTAGATGTGGTGTAGTAAAAACTATTAAATTATTATTATTATAATCAAAACTAAGAGCTAAACCCAGAAAACTTAAAATCCTAACTTCCAGGCTTGTCAAAAAGTTGTACGTTACGTGAGTGGAATAGCTGAACGTATACGCGACTCTTTAGATGGTCACAATTTGGAAAGTGTGCTTCTAGAGCTTGGCCTTAGATTTCATCGCATTGTTCTTGACCACCTCATGAAATATGAATACAGTGCAACAGGTAGGTCATACCCAGTCATATCTGTTTTAATAAAGAATGTAGAAAAGTTTTCTCTGATAAATTTTTCAGCTGATATCACTGCAGTTTCTATTTATAAACTTAGAAAACAATTGTGTACCAGCAAAATTTCTTTTAAATTTGTCTAAATTTTTGTTAAGCAGGACTAAAGTTGCTTACATAACCAGCCAAGACATATCTGTGTATATGCAGATGGAGGAAGGCTTTACAAAGCTTGTGGTGGGTGTGTCCTGTTTTTTGGTAATTATGCACATCAGTTATCTATTGTGACCCTATTTAAGTATTATTAATGATATTTCAGTCATAATTATTAAGTGAAGGACTTGGAGCTAGTATATAGTTCTTACAAAGAAATGATAATTTTATTTGTGCTTGTTATCAGGAGTTATCACTTTTTCTGTTCACATTTGTATAATATCTGGTAGGTGCCTTTTTAATTGTAAAAACTGAGGTAAGAGGAACTATTTTGACCAGGTACTTGTATAGAGCTAATATGGAGGCACACTATAAATGTTGAATTCTTTGGCATATATTACAAGTGATTCTTTAAATTTTAAAGCTGTGAAGGCCTTTGCATTACTGTATGTGGCGAAGTATTTTATTAATGAAAAATCGCCAAACCCAAACAGGTCATTTGGTGCTATTGTATTTAGTTAAGCTTTGCTGTTGAGCCACTATCAGTAATGGGCATTTCCTAAATTAATAGTTTATGATAAATGTAAAATGCAGAACTAACTGTGACCATGATATTGACACCTATATATGTTTTCAGGAGCAATGGCTGTAATCTGTGATGTAAATGAATATAGAAAGTGTGTTGCCAGTTTTAAGGTGCCTCAAGTTAATTCTCTCTTTGACACACTTCACACACTTTGTAAACTTCTCCAGGTATCTCCAGAAAACCTGAAAATGGTGTGCTCAGGAGACCAGTTGGTAAGCAGTTTAATATTGCTAATGAAACATTTCACTAAAGCTGAATTTATTTTATTTTTGTATTTTAATTTATTGTACAACTTAAAAGGTAATCCACAGAAGGCTGTTTTAATACAGTTTGCTTGGAAATTTTGACTGAGAAAATATCTTCACTGTTTAAATAAAAAATGACAGGCTTTGTCTATGGACTATTCTTGGAAGATAGCAGCCATACAAGCACAATTTATGGAAATCTCCTATCATATTAAGGTGACCCAGTTAAGACCCATTTCATAAGCTTTTATTGGGACATTTTTTGTTATATAGAGTGAAACAATGATTTAGACATGTGCAACATCTGGGTATCTCTAATTGTAGATGTTTTGCCATCCAGGTGCTTTATCAATACATGGACAATACAATACATGGACATACATGTAATAGAAATATATAGTAGGACCCCCACTTATACGGCAGGTTAGGTTCCAGGCTGCTGCCAGAAAGCAGACATCGCCGGAGAGTAGAATGCCATTTTTTCCACTTATAAATGCCAGATAACTAGTTTACACTAACATATATTAAGTAGCAATAGAACTAGGCATTAAAAAACAATAAAAAGTAAAATACACACGCAATACACTCATTATTTACCTCAAAATACATGACTATTGGACCACTTACCTTGACGAAGACATACGCAGACCTGCAAACCCAAACAATCTATTTTACTCTCTAGTAACTTCTGCCCCAAATCCCCTATACAAGTAAAATCCACCTGCAATCTACTAAAACCATCCTGTCTTAACAGGTGTGGACCTTAAACAATGTCCTTTGTGAATATATGCTCCCACTGGTACCTTGCAGTCATGCATTGGCGCCCCCCCCCTGCCCGCAAGCCTACCAGCACTCCTTGCCACGTCCATAACTCATGAACCACTATCTGCTTAGCGACGGGGTTAAACCCTGGTACTATCTCTTCCACTCACAAACCTTCCTCTCATCAGCCTACTTTTCCACTGTCCCCACTTCCCTGCTCACCCCACAAGGGTCTTACCTATTCTCTCTTGATCTTAATTGTAAGAAATTGGGTGTGGGTAGGTATGGTAGCCCTCTCGGCCACCCCACCCATACATAATATACTATGAAGCTTAAAGTGCCCTAGTGATAAAATGCATATAGAGTACACTCATTATTTACCTTAAAATGTTTCTAGTTTTAATGTAGGGTAAGAGGTGAAAAGTATTTGTAGAAAGGCAGGTGTGGTAGGTAGGGTAACCTGCCTGGCCACCCCACCCATGCAGAGTACTATGTAAACAAACAGACAGAGTGTCTGGTTATGGTTCATACACGTTCACACAAACACCTTAGATTGTGTACAAGTTGTCTCCACAGTGGTACACTAGAATAAATAAAGACCAACACTTCCATTCTCATGTAACATCATTTTTAGAAGGAGTGATGCTCTGACAAGTTAGAATAAATAAACAGCAACACTCCCATTCTCATACAACACACCATTTTTAGAGTGAATGATATTATTATTATAATCATAAAAAAGAAGTGCTAAACCCATAAGGGTCATGAATAGCTATAGAGTGAAGAGTGAAGTCAAACTGGTGTTTGACTAGAGAAAACTTAATTCTTCTGACACTCCTACAATCTGCTTGGTAAGCAAATCTCATATTTCTCAATTTTTTATACTGTGGGTGTATAATAATAATATCTTTATTTACTACAAGTACATATACATGGTATACAGGCCTAGCTGATATCAGTAACATACTACTATATAGAAAGCCCCCTGTTATGCTGAGCATTTGGGGCAAATTAGGTCAGTGTCCCGGGATGGGACCCACACCAGTCAACTAACACCCAGGTACCCATTTTACTGATGGATGAACATAAACAACAGGTGTAAAGAAACATGACCAATGTTTCTACCCTGGCTGGGAATTGAACCCAGACCCTCGCCGTGTGAAACGAGAGCTTTAACCACCAGGCTTTAGCCACGTAGTATGTTTATTACGTAATTTTGAAAAGAATATCATTGATGGATTAAGGGAAATGTCCATTATTAACTTAATATATGACATTTAATTCACCCAAGAGATTATTATATGGCATCAAGAGTAGAGAGAGACTTAGTGAATTTAATGTGTACCTGCATGCCAGCACAGTGTGTAAGTATATTTAGGTACAGGTACACATAAGTATAATTATCAGTGTACATATAAAATAACTTTAAAACTTGAAATTTTGGAAAAATTTCCAGACATAATAGAGATGTGCTCACGGAGAATGTAAACAAACTGGGCGGGGCATGCTGTATTAGAAAGACTGCTCGCCTTATAACAAGTTTTGGTCATTATTTGAAATCGCCGTATTAGTGGAATGCCGTAAGGCGGGGCCCTACTGTATACAGCAAATAGTGGAAGATGAGTGAAACTTTGTCCCAATAAAAACATGTTCTGCAATGTATTCCAAGGTGTTCTTTTTGTATTGTAGTTTAAAATAATGATGCAACTATATATACTTTAGTGCAGTTAGTTACCCACTTTTAAAATTTCAGAGTGGTCTTGACCGTACTGTTCTGGCAAGTTTTATCCAGTTGCGCTCTGACTATAAGACAGCAAAACTTGGCCATCAGCTGAAGTAGTTGGCTGGAAAAGGAACATTATTGTGAGAATAAGAGGGTTTTGACGTTGAGAATCAAATAAGTTTTATCAATAACTTCACCCATTCAAGGTCACACTTGTACTAATAATCTGTAAGCTTTTTAAAGCAGGTGCTACTTGGTTACTGAAGTACATTGATCACATTCCATATAACTGATATTATTACTTACTTTATGTAACTATTATATAGTTTGTGCACTAAGAGCACGAGAATTTTGGTATTAAGAGGATTTGCAGATATGCCTGGTGTGATATTTTTTTTTTTTTTTTCCTTTGGGTTCATAGCTGAACAATATTCATTTATGTAACAGCAATATAGAAAATTTGGCAGGCTTCCTCAAGATATGTCACAAGTTATAGTTAAGAGATACAGTATTTTGATATTGTATATAATAGCACACTATATTAATTTTGCTAAATAGTTCTACAATACTTTGTGAATGAGGTGGAACTACTGTGTGTGCATGTCTCTTCATAGGAAGTGCCTCGATGCCACCGAAGAGCTCCTACCTTAGGGAATTGGAGTAACCTTTCACTTTGTGGGATCAAACCCAACTTATCCCCTTTTTTCCTCATTCCCTGGGTGCTGCACATTTAGTATTTTCCCATAAATACAGTGAATGTATAATAACATAAGAAGGAACACTACAACAGGCCTACTGGCTTAAGCCAATGCCCTAACCTGGTCAGGTCACATTCACTTAAGGAAGGAGCATGGCATCTGACCTAGTAGCACAAGCTAGTCAGGTCCTCTTGCCTTTTAACTGACAACTTCATTGAACACTTACAGAATTGCCCTCTCTATATCTGTGCCAGGCCATTCCACTTTTATCATTCGTGTTAACTCGCACCCCTCGAGGGGATTTTGATTCAAGGAATTGGGCCTGACTGCCTCCTGTTCCCCCAGGTGCTGTATGACCTATGCAAATCATACAGCACCTGAATGTACTGTAATAATAATTGTTGATATTCAAGTTCTCAATTTCTAGCAAGATTTCTGTACTCAAATTTAATATGTAATAATTAGATCTAGTTTTGATTGCAAGCTCCTCTAAATATTTCATCTATTATTTTTTTTTTCCAACATATCGGCCATCTCCCACCGAGGCCATTATTTCTTTAATACTGCATTTTTGCCAAAAATTGCCTTTTTTTTATTTCCCCCACCTGGAAACACTGTTACATAGCAAGAACAAAGCCTATCATATAGAATAGGATAGCAGCACACTGCTGATGTATCCAGTTTTTTCTTAAAAAAAAAAAAAAAAAAATGCTACCATATTATTCTTCCTAACTCCCAACATTAGTACTAGCTTTTCTCTCTGCAGGTGAGATGCCTTGATATATTTAGCAGGAAGCACTAAACCCATAGGGATTGGGAGGCAAATCAGGCTCCATCTAAGGCAGGAAAGGACAGGTCCAATTTCTTGAATCAAAAACCCCTCATGGGGCTTCTGATTAAAAGATCAAATTTTTCTTCTAAGATATACAAATAACCCGGACATAAAAGAGAAGCAGCTTACGACGACGTTTCGGTCCGACTTGGACCATTTACAAAGTCACACTAACCAGAAGTGGAGCAGGACGGCTATATATAGGCAGGTAGTAGTAGTAGTAGTACAAGAATGGTATATAATACCGACAAGATGAAATTAAGACACATGCGCAACACCCGGGCATCTCTATCGTAGACGTTTCGCCAGCCAGCCACTGGATGGCGAAACGTCCACAACAAAGACACCCAGACGCCGCACGTGTGTCTTAATTTCATCAGTAGTAGTAGTAGAAGAGGTAGAAGTGGTAGTGGTAGAAGTGGGGAATAAGGAGGACGAGCCAGTCAAATACAAAGGAAGGGGAGCACTGCAAGGGAGCTAGGTGCCCACAGAGGGAGAGCAAGCGCACAGAGGTGCGTGAAAGGGGAAGTGGTGAAATAAATGAAGAAGGAACAGAAACACGAGACAGAAGAGAGAAAGACAACCCAGAGGAGAAAAAGGAAAGAGGGAGAAGAAGAAAAAGAAAAAGAAAAAAGGAGTCAGGTTAAGTCACGGGTGTTCTGAAGTTTGGAGCATTTTACAATGTGGTGGGAGAGGAAGGCATCTACAGAGACGAAGCCAGGGCTAAGATTCATACAAGGAAAGTTGTGTATTAGAGAGGATTCAACTAGACGGCGACTGTTCGAGTTGGAAGTAGGGAAGACAGTTTTAGCAGAAGACCAGTCAATAGGATGGCTATGATCTCTGACGTGACAGAAAAGAGCATTGTTAGAGTCGGCAAGCCTAACACTATTTTTGTGCTCCCTAAGTCTGTCAGAAAGAGAACGACCAGTTTCTCTGAAGTATTGAAGAGGACAGGAGGAGCAAGAAATAGAGTAGACATCAAGCTTACCTTCCGCCAGACTAACACTCTTCGCACTAATCTCGTTCATACCTCTCCTCCCTCTACAGATGTTCCTGGTGTCTACTCTATTTCTTGCTCCTCCTGTCCTCTTCAGTACTTCGGAGAAACTGGTCGTTCTCTTTCTGACAGACTTAGGGAGCACAAAAATAGTGTTAGGCTTGCCGACTCTAACAATGCTCTTTTCTGTCACGTCAGAGATCATAGCCATCCTATTGACTGGTCTTCTGCTAAAACTGTCTTCCCTACTTCCAACTCGAACAGTCGCCGTCTAGTTGAATCCTCTCTAATACACAACTTTCCTTGTATGAATCTTAGCCCTGGCTTCGTCTCTGTAGATGCCTTCCTCTCCCACTACATTGTAAAATGCTCCAAACTTCAGAACACCCGTGACTTAACCTGACTCCTTTTTTCTCTTTCTTTTTCTTCTTCTCCCTCTTCCCCTTTCCTTTTTCTTCTCTGGGTTGTCTCTCTCTCTTCTGTCTCGTGTTTCTGTTCCTTCTTCATTTATTTCACCACTTCCCCTTTCACGCACCTCTGTGTGCTTGCTCTCTCTCTGTGGGCACCTAGCTCCCTTGCAGTGCTCCCCTTCCTTTGTATTTGACTGGCTCGTCCTCCTTATTCCCCACTTCTACCACTACTACTACCTCTTCTACTACTACTGATGAAATTGACACACATGTGCAGCGTCTGGGTGTCTTTGTTGTGGACGTTTCACCATCCAGTGGCTGGCTGGATGGCGAAACGTCTACGATAGAGATGCCCAGGTGTTGCACATGTGTCTTAATTTCATCTTGTCAGTATTATATACCATTCTTGTACTACTACTACCACCACCTCTTCCTGCCTATATATAGCCATCCTGCTCCACTTCTGGTTAGTGTGACTTTGTAAATGGTCCAAGTCGGACCGAAACGTCGTCGTAAGCTTCTCTTTTATGTGCGGGTTATTTGTGTATCGTTCCAGTCACGGTATTGTGCCTTTTTTTTTTATTTCTTCTAAGACACTGGAGCTATCCTCCCATTTTCTGGATTAAAGTTTGATGCCCCTCATGCCTCCTATGGATTCAGTGTTTTCCCCATAATAATACCCTTCATCAAACACAGAGGTGATAATACTAGAGATAGAAGTGGAGAGGCAGTTACCATGTCACGTCTACTGTCTCTAATATTGTAATAACCTCTTTGATAAAGTCTGTTGTGCAGGTGAAATGTTTCAACAATAAAGATATTTAAATGATGCACATACCTCGGTTATAGAGGGGCAACGGATATATTGGATCATTATCCAGTTGTGGGAAGGCGGGGGTATGGGTCGGCCTAGGAAAGGTTTTGTGTGCGAGGAGCTTGGACTTCCAGCAAGCATGCGTGAGCATATTTGGTAGGAGTTAATGAAGACAAATGGTTTTTAATACTTGATGTGCTGTTGGAGTGTGAGCAAAGTAACATTTATGAAGGGATTCAGGGAAACCAGCAGGCCAGACTCAAGTCCTGGAGATGGGAAGTACAGTGTATGCACTCTGAAGGAGGGGTGTTAATGTTGCAGTTTTGTAAACTGTAGTGTAAAGCACCCCTCTGGCAAGACAATGATGGAGTGAATGATGAAAGTTTTTCTTTTTCGGGCCACCCTGCGTTGGTGGGACTGGGCTACTGTGTTAATAATATCTAGTTGTAGCTACAGTTAGAGTAAGAGGCAGATGAGACAAAAGGAAAATGGCAGCAGTGAGAGAGAGAGGTGAAAGTTTATAAACTAAGGGAGGAGGAAGTTTGGGTCAGATGTAAGCAACTATTGGCAGTGCAAGTATGGGTAATGGGGGAGTTGAAGAGGGATGGGATAGTTTTAAAAATGCAGTATTAGAATGTGGGGCAGAGGTTTGTGGCTATAGGAGGGTCAGTGCAGGAGGAAAGAGGAGTGATTTGTGGAATGATGAGGTCAGGGGTGTGATAAGAGAGAAAAAGGTAGCTTATGAGAGGTTTTTACAAAGAAGTGATATAAGAAAGGCACAGTATATGGAGAGTAAAAGAAAAGTGGCGAGAGAATGCAAAAGTAGAGCAACTGATAGAGTACTGTCAAGAAATTTTGCTGAGAATAAGAAAAATTTTGGAGCGATATAAACAAGTTAAGAAAGCCTAGGGAATGAATGGATTGTCAGTTAAAAACAAACAGTAGGGGAATTAGATGGAGAGCTGGAGGTATAGGGTAGATGGCGGGAATATTTTGAGGAACTATTATATGTTGATGAAGAAAAGGAGGCAGTAATTTCATGCACTGGCCAGGGAGGTATAACATCTTTTAGGAGTGAAGAGGCATTACATAGAAAGGAGGGGTAAAGCAGCTGGAACTGATGGGATCATGACAGAAATGTTAAAAGCAGGGGAAGATACAGTGTTGGAGTGGTTGGTATTTTTGTTTAATAAATGTATGAAAGAGGGGAAGGTACCTAGGGATTGGCAGAGAGCATGTATAATTCCTTTATATAAAGGGAAGGGAGACAGATGTAAAAATTATAGGGGAATAAGTTTACCGAGTATACCAGGTAAAGTGTACGGTAGGGTTATAATTGAAAGAATTAGAGGTAAGACAGAGAGCAGGACTGCAAATGAGCAAGGCTTCAGAATGGGTAGGGGATGTGTAGATCAGGTGTTTACATTGAGGCATATATGTGAACAGTATTTAGATAAAGGTAGGGAGGTTTTCATTGCATTTATGGATTTAGAAAAGCCATATGATAGAGTGAATAGGAGAGCAATGTGGCAGATCTTGCAAGTGTACAGAATAGGTAGTAAGGCTCAGGTTAGGGTGTGTAGGAGAGAGGGAGATTACTTCCCAGTAAAAGCAGGTCTTACACAGGGATGTGTAATGTCACCATGGTTGTTTAACATATTTATAGATGGAGTTGTAAATGCTAGGGTGTTGGGGAGAGGGGTGGGAATAAATTATGGGGAATCAAATACAAAATGGGAGTTGACACAGTTGCTTTTGGGGGATTCTAAAGAGAAGTTGCAAGGGTTATTAGACGAGTTAGGAAGGGTGTGTGAAGGTAGAAAGTTGAAACTGAACATAAGAGTAAGGTGATGAGGGTATCAAACAATTGGAGAGAGGGAGTATGAGATGTAAACTTTTTCAGATATTTGGTAGACTTGTCAGCGGATGGGTTTATGAAGCAATAAAGGCGAGTGGTGCATTGAGGTATCTGTGGAGACAAAGAATGTTATACATGGAGGCAAAGGGACTGTATGAGAGTATAATGGTACTAACACTTTTATATGGGTGTGAAGCACGAGCTGTAAATGCTGCAGCGAGGAGGCAGCTAGAGGCAGTGATGTCGTGTCTAAGGGCAATGTGTGGTGTAAATATTATACAGAGAATTTGTAGTGTGGAAATATGGAGTTACTAAAAGTATTAGTCAGAGGGCTGTTGAGGGGGTTTGGTCATTTAGAGAGATTGGAACAAAGTAGAATGACTTGGAGAGCATATAAATCTGTAGAGAAAAGAAGGTGGGGTAGGGGTTGTCTCCTAAAAGGTTGAAGGGAGGGGGTAAAGGAAGTTTTGTGGGTAAGGGGCTCGGACTTCTATCAAGCATGCATGAGCGTGTTAGACAGGAGTGGAGATGAATGGTTTTTGGGACCTGACAATCTGCTGGAGTGTAAGCAGGGTAATTTGTGAAGGAATTCTGGGAAATCAGTTAGCCGAACTTGAGTCCTGGAAATGGGAAGTACAATGCCTGCGCTTTAAAGGAGGGACGTCTAATTATAATTATAATCAAATACAGCACTAAACCAACAAGGGACATGGAGGGATGTCTAAGCTGGCATATCCAAGTGCCTCTGCAAAGACAGTGCTTATGTATGAGTGACAGTGAAAGTATGTAATGATGAAAGTTTTTTCTTTCTTTTAGGGTCACCCTACCTCAGTGGGAAATGGTCGAAGTGTTAAAAAAAAAAAATCTTGCTTATCAACATGTCACTATTGTACACCATTTATGAAGGAGGCCTTAAAATAATCTTAGATTTTCAACTTTTGAAAACAAGCTCAGATACAGACTAATTTTAATTTAAAGTACAGCATCTCATTGCCTACCCAGTAAACATGACATCTTTCACAGATCAAGTCCTATTTATCGCTTTCCTGATTGCTAGTGCACAAAGCTCTCACGCTGAGCTTCAGGGGTTGATCCCTGGTACAACTGGAAAACATTAGGATGTGTTTCCATAAGACACCTGCTGTCCACATCCTGGTACAAAATTGACCTAACTTGCCCAAATTGATGTCAGCTAGGCCTGTATACCTTGTACATGTACTTGTAGAAATAAAGAGTATCATTATTACTATAGTTTCTCAGATCTTCCTGTCAATCTGTAGCATCATGCAATGCCTGGGGAATGGGAGGCTATTGTGTTCTATACAAGAGGAACAGTCCAATTCCTTAAATTAAGAATCCTTCATCTGGATCAAGGAACATCCTTTGAGGGCTTTCCTAAGGCTAGACTAAACAGTTTCACATTTTAGTTAAAAGTAGCCCAAATCTTAATTATAAAAATTATAAATTTTTCATAGTGTATAGATTGTTTAAAATATGTTATGTAATATGATTTAAATATAATTAGATTATGTGCTTATCCCCTTAGTATTGTCACTGTTAAAAGGTATTTCACTTAAAGGGTCTAACCTTATCGTAAATTCTGAGAGGTATTGATATCAGTCCCTTCAAGGGGATTAATTTGATGCTGAAGGGTTCTTTATCCAAGTAATTGGAAATCCCCTTCTCATTCCTTGTATCAGCCTGATACCCTGCATTATAAATTTAATGCTTCCTATAATAAGACCATTCCAAATAATGCGAGTTTAAGATTCATGGGGAAGGGGGCAAACTGTGGGGGCTATACAGTATCTGGGAAAATAAGCATTGAGGTTTGATCCAAGAGAGCACTGCTCCAAGCAAGAATCCTTTACTGGAATCAAGGAACCTCCCTTGAGAGGAATATGAATTGCAGACACTAGTAACCTACAGTAAATATTGTCTAGTTTGACATACCTACCTGCAAACCATATTACTTTGTCATACATACCTTTCTATATTGTTATTGACATTAGATTACTGTACTGTTATTGACATTAGATTACTGTACTTCAGTTACATGCAGTTTAAAAAACCTACAAGACTACATATTAAAAACCTGTCTTAGAGAGTTAATATCTGAAATATTTAAAGAAGGGTAAGAGTTGTTGAAATTGCTGTTTGTAGATGGCACTGTGACTGGGAGAACCTGCAGAGGTTAATGGAAGAATTGGCAAGAGCATTATAATTGTTTCAAGTGATTAGAAGAGCGTAGTAATGAAAAAAAGCACTAAAAATGGATAATGAAAAAGTATCAGAGGCAAGAAGCAAATTTGATTACTCTACCATTGTCCTCTTCATAGCAAGTGCTAAGCCGATAAATATTACACAGCACCTGAGGCAGAGAAGGTAATCAGGTTTGATCCAAGTTCCCTTCAATGGCAATAAGGCAACCCCCTTTTACCTTGAAGACTGGCGCAGGAGGGCCCCGCTTATACAGCAAGTTAGGTTCAGGCTACTGTTGTAAAGCGAAAATCGTTGTGAAGTGAATCTTAGCCTTTCTTCACTTTCAAATACATATAAAAGCCTGATAACATGTTTATACTATCATATATTAAGTGAGCAATAGAGCTAGGCCTAAAAAGTGCATATACAGTACACACATACCTTAAAATATTTTTGTCATTAGCTTATAGCGAGTGGTGAATATATTTATTGTAGGAAGTCTAAATGAACAATGAGTATAACTGAATACCACTGTATTAGCAAAACACTGTAAAGTGGGGCCCACCTGTACTGTAATTAATGTACTCTAAGTGGAAGTGACTATCAGCAGATGGGTTTGAAAGATATGGTAACTCATATTATTGTCAAGGGTGGGGGATATAACCTGTTATACAGTACCTGAGGATATGGGCATCAAGGAACCTCCCACAAGGGAAGGGTAATTCATATAATACCAGTAGTTTAGAGAGAGGTGAGAGTTGCAGAACTTTGAAAGTGAAAAAAAAAAAACAAGAGTTCATTGACAGACTATAATAACCCCACCTCCCTTCATATACAGGAGGGAGGTGAAGTTATACAGTCTCTGTCAAAACCTTGGGCCACACTTTTCCCAATACATAACCATACCCAGGTACTTGTTTTTGACAGTACACTACCTCCTTAATCTTCATCTGCTGGTCCTTCCAAGGGTTTATATGTCCTCACTTCCATGAAGGTAAAGATGCATCTGTCCTTGTCCTCCATCACTGCTTACTGGAAATATGAGTTTCGTCTGTTAGTCATTACTGGGAGAACAAGGCCTCGTATGATGCTAAAATGATCTGATTTTACATTTTTTTAGAGTATATTCTGAATCAGCATAGAAAAATTGTACCCCTGGTATGATTTTAAGGAATTTTGAAAATCCGGCAGAAAATAGCAAAAAAACACCAAACTTTTTCTCTCAAAATGGAAAATGGTCATGATGACAGAGACCTCATTCACCAGCAGGTACCATTCACTACTAATCAGAGCATTCCCAGGTGCCAGCTCCAGTACCAACACCTCCTCTCTCTAGCCTCCACATCGTGTAGCACCACCTCATGGTCCCATGTCATCCTAGTTAGACTGGCAGGCTGGTTCACTGGTGCCTTCCACCTCATCTTAACCACTGTCTCTGAAACCGAGAAAAAACTCTGAGGGGAAAGAATCACCATTCTCACCTAGCCAGTGATTTAATAATTCCAGAGTGCTTTTCCACACGGCAATTAAAAGGAGGGGAATACCCTCATCCCAGTCTATCTGGTACTGGATACAACAAACATGCATTGTCCTGAGAGACTGGTGAAACCACTCTACGTTCCTCTGATTCTCAGAGTGATAGACATTGCTCGATTGTTTCTTAATTACATCTCTCAAAACTACATGAAATTTTATAAAATTTGACTTCTGGTTGGCTTGAATTGCTGCAAAGCCTGACAAAATATTTCACCAAAAATCTCAAAACCACACACACAAAATTATTTAGAAGGGGTATGAACTCTGGTTAAACATTTATTATCCAGCTCTCCCTTCTCAGTACTGAAATATCCTCCACTGGGAATCTGTAAAAAAATCAGAACCTTATTCTCAAATGGCTCTGACAAAGACAGCTTGGTGACATACTTTCTTAAAAAGAATTTTCCTCATTAAACCATCTCTGCAAAATAAACATGTGTTAAATCTGGGAATCACTTCCTCTGTAACAGCTGGCAAGTGAATAGCCTTCACCACATCCATGAACCTCGACCAGCTGCCTCAGAATCAGGGTATTCACTCCCATGCCAGCACCGAGAACCTCCCCCCCCCCCAAACTGGGTTTCACCTGGGCTGGTTCATCAATGGCCGGAGTCTTCTGCAGGTCAGACTCAATGAACAGGCTCCCCAGGCCCAAATTGTCACCACAGTCAGTAGAAAGATCTAGGAGATGCACAGAAGTTCTTGCCTTGCTCACCTGGTTAGACCCACAACATTGTTGCCTAGTAGAAGGTCAACACCTGCAAAAGGTAAATCTTCTGTAATACCTACAGGCAGGTACCCAGACTAGTAAACAGACTCTACCCACAACCTATGAACTGGAGTCCTAACAGTGGATCCTGAGATTCCTTTTAAAAATATCACTTGTTCGCAGGTACAATAATATAAAATACTGCTCGTTGGGCTAGTACACCAAATAGGGAGCAGAATGAAATTAGCTCAGAAGCATCCACATCACTGTATGTCCTCGGATGATGGGTACAACACCCAGCTTTGCTGGGTGCATCATTCTTGAGGATTGTGTGGTTCCGTGGACTAGAGCATCATGAGTTTTCACTCACCATGAGGCAGGCCAAAGCAGCATGAGTTCGACTCCTGGCTAGTCGCAGTGTTGTTAACATATACAACCTACCCACTACATACAAAATCACCATACACCATTACTCACTCACATATAATATTTTACCTGCCGGCTACTTAGCCTGCAGGTAAATCGTTATATGTACTCTCAAAAACACAGGCCCTCGCACACATTAGGACCTTTAATGAAAATCGTGAGAGCATAACAACAATTTTATAATCAATGGCCTAGACTAGGCCAAAAATCCCACCCACATACTTAAACACCAAACCATGATGTGGAAAATACTGTATATATTTTCCAGAAATTCAGTATTTATATGTAAATAGATGGCCATACCGTATTTAATAATATTTATGTCATAGAAAACGGAAAGCCTGCATCTGCCCAGACGGGACTCGCCATCTTGGTTTTGAATTGTACAAACGTTGGTGTAATGGGAAGAATTTTTCGTGCTCTAGAGGTTAAAATTGTGTTGACACCTCTCAAATAGGAGGCGAAATTGGTGGATGTGCATTCCTGCATAACTTGAGATATCAGACGACTGGACAAGACAGCTCCAGGAACCTCAGATAAGCTCTCTAGATTTGTGTGTAATTCTGGCCAACATTATTTTCATAGATTTAGTTAGAGTGAGGTTTTCTGAGTATGATACACATTAATCTCCAGTCAAATTGGTGAGTGATATTAAGATATATTTTCCTTCTGTTATGTAATTGTGTACATATATAACCATTTATTATTTTTAATATACAGTCCACAAAATTTATATATTTACCAGTATTCCTGGTGTATGTATATTTCATTTAATTAATAGGTCCAGAGCAACTTGTGGTTATGACAGTGGTAGGTATCGAAGGGGGACATTTTTGTGACCTAGGTGTCCCAAATTCCTACTTGTCTATGTAACATTGATAAATAATAATTATCTTTGTTATCATTTACTGTTATGTACATAATTAGTTACATTCAGATAAATGCAATTTTCCACACATGACGTCTTATGAAGTCTTCCTCCAGCAAAAGCTCTCCTCATACTGACTCATAAACACACCTCACCTGCTCCTGTCCTGGCTACTCTGGCTGACCAAGAATACACATCTGGTTTCAGAACAAATCCCATAAACTGACATTATATATGGAGCATTTAATATAATACACTGCATAATACACATGTAAAGTGGTGGGGCTGTCAGAGCCTTGTACAACACAGCACATGTAGTGTGCAAGTTGACTGTTCTACATGTATTACTACTACTGTACAACTATTACTACTACTACTACCACTAGTATTACATCTCACTCTAAGCCTATATATACCCTCTGTGTCCATATATTGTTTGTAATGGCTTGATAAAGCTCCTGGAGAGCGAAACGTTGCCACAATAAAATGTCACATTAGTTACACTTGTGTCATTTTACCAAACAACACATGTAAAGTGGTGGGGCTGTCAGCGTCTTGTACAACACATGTAAAGCCTATCTCAAACTTCTGCTTAGATTACATCAAGGGCCCGGCACACTTTTGAAGTGATAGATGTACATATTGCCTTGTAATTACAGAGAGGGAATTGTTAATCTAATCTTGAAGTTTGTGAAAACAGCGATAGAGAGAGAGAGAGAGTTGAACTAGTGTTCACGAAGGCTGAGGGATTCCAAATATACGAAAAATATCACTTCAGGCACTGTACGATCCGTGTGGGTTTAGCGGTTTGTAATGCATATAATAATAAGAAGAAGCAAGAACAACAACAATTTCCAAATTTCACGCATGGATCTTCAAACGTTTCAGTAATTTATATAAAAGGGGAAAAACTTTATAAATAAAATCTCACATGAAAATAATAATATTGTAGTGTGTAGAACTCATCTGGGTCAGGCTGTGTGTGGTAGGTTGGTATAAGGTTCGGTAGGAAACAAGACAAGTGTTTCCTGACGCGGGTCTTAGTCATATGATAACCCACAGCTGGAGGATTTAATCATCTGACCAGGGCCTTCCGCTGGTTTACTGGTCCACCCCTTTAAAAAATCATCGTTATGATTGTAACCATTTATATCTGTAGGGTGTGTGGTGCCGGGTGCAGAGTTAATGTACTCGTACACTCAGCTGAGATGTTCAATGTCATGTACTATACCCGTCATTTTTCCCTCTTTGGATATTATATACATAAAGGTTATAGTCATAACCATAATTTTTAAAGGGGTGGAGGGGTAAGTCAGCGGAAGGCTTCGGTCAGATGACCACAAGCTCCTGCTTCGGGCCATCATATGACTTAAGATCCGCATCAGGCAACACCTGTCCTATTTCCTGGCAAACCTTACCTAACCTCTTCCGATAACTGGAGCTCTTCTAAATTCCAGTCTATACTCTGTCTCAGGTTTTTACTCGCCCTCCCTCATTAATCAGAAAAATCTTGTCCTTTTGAGGGGATGAATTCTTTTAGCCTTCCACGTAACTATTCTTGCAGCTCGTACGTGTCTCCCTTTAGCTTGTTCTGTTCTCCATCGTTCACATTCCTCTCGGTAACGTCACATCTGCAATGAAACGTAGAAGTTAATCCCCTTTGAGAGGTCGTCACCTGTATCAGAATTAGTAATGGTTTTCGTCAGTTTTACCCAAACTGATGTACGTTACCGCACCCCTCACTCTCTACTGATCAAACCTGGTTACTTCACATTTCCCCAGGCGCTGTATGAGCCCTAATAGGTTTAGCGCTTCCCCATGTATATAATAATCATTCTTCTGTTCTTTATTGGATAACCTGTAATCCACTTAGGAGCTTTCTCTTTTACCCTGAATGATTGTATAGTTTGTAGAACAGACTGTGTGTGTGTGTGTGTGTGTGTGTGTGTGTGTGTGTGTGTGTGTGTGTGTGTGTGTGTGTGTGTGTGTGTGTGTGTGTGTGTGTGTGTGTGTGTGGTGTGTGTGGTGTGTGTGGTGTGTGTGGTGTGTGTGTGTTACACTGCACGTGTCACTGTGTACGCACGTTTTTCCATGTACACACCGCATATAATGACAGTCATTTTGCGAACACGTGACAAACCGACACCTGATCGTAATATATATCATAAAAGAGACAGGAAAAAAAGGCAAAAGGGAGTGAGAGAAGGAGGGAGGGAGGGAGGGAGTGAGAGAAGGAAGGAGGGAGGGAGGGAGGGGGTAGGAAGGAAGAAGAACCAGAGGGAGGTGTGAGAGTAGACATTTGGGAACCGTCTCGCTCCATTGGGTTGAAGGGAGAGGTTAGTGATAAAGAGGGAGGGAGAGGTTAGTGATGAAGTGGGAGGGAGAGGTTAGTGATGAAGTGGGAGGGAGAGGTTAGTGATGAAGTGGGAGGGAGAGGTTAGTGATGAAGTGGGAGGGAGAGGTTAGTGATGAAGAGGGAGGGAGAGGTTAGTGATAAAGAGGGAGGGAGAGTTTAGTGATGAAGAGGGAGGGAGAGGTTAGTGATGAAGTGGGAGGGAGAGGTTAGTGATGAAGTGGGAGGGAGAGGTTAGTGATGAAGTGGGAGGGAGAGGTTAGTGATGAAGAGGGAGGGAGAGGTTAGTGATGAAGAGGGAGGGAGAGGTTAGTGAAGAGGGAGGGAGAGGTTAGTGATGAAGAGGGAGGGAGAGGTTAGTGATGAAGAGGGAGGGAGAGGTTAGTGATGAAGAGGGAGGGAGAGGTTAGTGAAGAGGGAGGGAGAGGTTAGTGATGAAGAGGGAGATAAGTAGAAAGGAGTTAAATGGTGAGGGAGGGGTGGGGGGAACGCGGACGAGAAGGGAGACAGGATAAAGTGGATGAAGGGCAAGGAAGGGAAAGCAGACGTGACGTCAGTCATTTGAGGTCACATTTGTAAACAAATTTCAAATACGCTAAATAGCAATCAAATTTTCGAAATCAGATAAACAACAAACTCGAATCCAATGTCGCTCAGTGTTTATTAATTTTCCACCTCCCTTCAAACGCACCATCTCTCGGTGGGGGAGAGAAAGCATCTCTCGGGGGTGAGGGGGATGAAGTCATATATCTCGAGGGTGGGGAGGACAGGAGGGAGCGACGTCGAGCAGGGGTTGGAGAGGGGAGAGACACTATATCTCCAGGATCAGGGGGAGAGAAGATAGACATCACATCTCCAGGATCAGGGGAAGGGGAGAGAAATCATATCTCTAGGGTCAGGAGGAGAGACAAGAGAGAAACTTACATCTCCAGGGTCAGGGGGAGAGACAAGAGAGAAACTTACATCTCCAGGGTCAGGGGGAGAGACAAGAGAGAAACTTACATCTCCAGGGTCAGGGGGAGAGACAAGAGAGAAACTTACATCTCCAGGGTCAGGGGGAGAGACAAGAGAGAAACTTACATCTCCAGGGTCAGGGGGAGAGACAAGAGAGAAACTTACATCTCCAGGGTCAGGGGGAGAGACAAGAGAGAAACTTACATCTCCAGGGTCAGGGGGAGAGACAAGAGAGAAACTTACATCTCCAGGGTCAGGGGGAGAGACAAGAGAGAAACTTACATCTCCAGGGTCAGGGGGACACACAAGCCTAGCAGCTTCATTAACATACAACTCCTGATAATTTCACGCTGGTTAAGGCGATATTTTTCGCCATCTGTCTATGAGTTCACGCTCCTTGACTTCCACTTGTTATCGATCTGTGGCTTCCACTCTTTTTTTGGTTGGTTATTTTGTCTTTAACTTAATAACATTCCTTAAGACAGACTCTTTTGCCTTCGTTCGATCTGGGCTCTTATATTTACTGTTTAGGGTACATTCCAGCTGCTCTTACACGCACTTGGTATTCCTCTTTCAGTTCCATCAACACAAACTCTTGACTTCTGCTTGATATCCCTCTTCAAAACTATATGAAGTCTACCTGGAGGGTGCTCCGGGGGTCAACGCCCCCGCGGCCCAGTCCTTGACCAGGCCTCCTGGTGGATCAGGGCTTGATCAAAAAGGCTGTTATTGTTGGCCGTACGTAGTCCAACGTATGAACCACAGCCCGGCTGATCGGGTACTGGCTTTAGGTATCTGTCCTGCTCCCTCTTGAAGGCAGCCAGAGGTCTATTAGTAATTCCCTTTATGCCTGGTGGGAGGCTGTTGAACAGTCTCGGACCCCGGACACTTATTGTATTTGAGTGTCTAGAAGAGGCTAAAACCGTTGGGGGTCATACTTCTGGGGGAATGTTAGGCAATCAGTCCCCTCAAGGCAGGATTGATCCAACTCCTCGCATCAAGAGCCCTCTCATTGGCATTAAGACATATTTACCCTAAGGGAAAAAGATAAATGAAGAAATAAAAGAAGAAACAGGACTACATATTTGCCACGGTCACCTTTAAGGTCATAATATTGAGTCAAATTACACACATTGACATAATCTCCTAATAAACAGAGTATTATACTGGCAACACTGCTAGCTGTAAATGGTGCAGTCCACAGTCTGGTGCACGCAGCAACACACATACACACAAACACACACGCAGCAACACACATACACACAAACACACACGCAGCAACACACACACACACAAACACACACGCAGCAACACACATACACAAAAACACACGCAGCAACACACACACACACACACGCAGCAACACACATACACAAACACACACGCAGCAACACACATACACACAAACACACACGCAGCAACACACATACACACACAAACACACAAATAGACTGTCTATCGACAAGTGCCTTGCACAAGTAGCTACTACAACAAAATAAAAAACGGTAAGTGTCTATCGACAAGTGACAACTACCTTTTCCTTCTTCCACAACTATAACTACTTATTTTTCTACAAGAACCTTTTCTATTCAACAACTACTACTACCACTATAATTACTATCACCTCCACCACTCCCTTCTGCCCCCCTACCGTATAATCTGGCCTTTTCTACTTCTTTTTTCCGCCCCAGTTGTGACTTGACAATGGTCCAAGACTCACCGAAACATCAACACGAGACTCCTCTACCAACAGCAGGATTTTTTTTGGTAAATGCCACACTCATGTTAACTCTTCTCATGGACAACTAATTTAGTAATCTGTTTTGCGCGATATTACAACTAGTAACTACTAATAGTGCACACTATAAAATAGCGTATTACTGTACATATATCACATTCACGTCACACGACGTTTTCTATATATTTTTCTTCTCACAACGTTCGAAACATCAGAATTATTGTCGTAAAAGAAGTAAGAGGTATATCCGCATGGGTGATAGCGCGTTGCAACATTAAAAAGAACACAAACAGAATGTTAATAAAGAAAATAACATTAGAACAACGCGCAAAAAGATAACATTAATAACGTAACGCAAATAATGTAACAACAGTAACCACTGTTACGACCAAGATAACAATAGCACAACACAAATAATGTAACAACAGTAACCACTGTTAAGATTAAGATAAAGTAATAAGGAAACAACAGTAACCACTGTTACGACCAAGATAACATTAATAGCACAACACAAATAATGTAAGAACAGTAACCACTGTTACGACCAAGATAACATTAATAGCACAACACAAATAATGTAACAACAGTAACCACTGTTAAGATTAAGATAAAGTAATAAGGAAACAACAGTAACCACTGTTAGGACCAAGATAACATTAATAGCATAACACAAATAATGTAACAACAGTAACCACTGTTAAGATTAAGATAAAGTAATAAGGAAACAACAGTAACCACTGTTACGACCAAGATAACATTAATAGCACAACACAAATAATGTAACAACAGTAACCACTGTTAACAGCAGCTCTTAAAAACAATTCCGGGATAAACTTGTCATTTCTGGGAAATAATTCACAACCACCACAAAAAAAATCATTGTATAATATCTGGCAATAGACGCGTCAGAGGTGGCAAAAAAAAAATCCCCTAAACAGCTGTTATTTCCCCCGCCACCACACAATGATCCTCCCTTATTTCCTTCCCTACCTCCCCAGTCTTTCCCTACCACCCCTGATTGCCTGCCAAGTACTCCCTCCCAGGCATCTCCCCCTCCCGCCCCTCACTAACCCCCCCCCCCATCATGCCTCACCTCAGGAATCACAACAAGTGAGGTTGTTACTATTACAACGCCTGAGTGAGTCTTGTGGCTCGCCCTCACACATGTTCCCACTCACACAAACAATTCTGCCTTTATTTTTGTACTGATGATGACAGTCATTATTGTTACACTGATGATGACAGTCATTATTGTTACACTGATGATGACAGTCATTATTGTTACACATTGATGATGACAGTCATTATTGTTACACTGATGATGACAGTCATTATTGTTACACTGATGATGACAGTCATTATTGTTACACATTGATGATGACAGTCATTATTGTTACACTGATGACAGTCATTATTGTTACACTGATGATGACAGTCATTATTGTTACACTGATGATGACAGTCATTATTGTTACACTGATGATGACAGTCATTATTGTTACACTGATGATGACAGTCATTATTGTTACACTGATGATGACAGTCATTATTGTTACACATTGATGATGACAGTCATTACTGTTACA